CATGTTACATCCGTCCTTAAAGTATTAAATAAGTCAACAAAACCTGTTGGTGGTATATCTGAGTAAGTATCTTCAAAGGAGTATTTTTTACCATTCACAACAACAAAGTCTTCTGGTGTCAAAAGAGCAAAACAGGCTTTAGTCGTCATCGTGTTTAAGGTCAGTTTACAATATCGTCCTTGAGGACTTTGTAAGTTTGTTGTTATAGAATTATATGACTCAGGGTTTTTAGTCGTAATAGTATAAACCACTATGTCTTCTGCCATTTACTTAGCAACTAAATTTTAATGAAATGTTGTGGTCGTCAAATATTTTTATAACGTCTGGGAAACTATATTTTAAGTTCAACGTTTCACCTCCTTTCATAACGTATATCTTGTCAATGACATTATATGAAACACCACAGCAAGCAATGTCGGGTTCTATTTCTTTGATGTTTATATCGTCTGCCTCTGTCAAAAGTTTCAATAGTTCTTTCAAAACTTCATGAGGTGCAATGACATATGAGTTCACTTTTACAGGGTTGTGTTCGACCAAGTTTAACATTATACCTAAAGCTTGACAAATCTTCTCCTGAGTTTTAAGTTTGTCTTTAAGTTGTTGGTAGTCATTTCGAATATCTGCAACAGAACTTAAGTCTCTGCTAACTTCAGGATATGTTGGTTGTTCTTTTACAGGAACAATTGTTATACCATCTTCGTCTTCGTATGGTTTCCCCACTTCAACATCTCTGTCTTTGACATTGACAACAACACTTTGACTGTTTGTTTGAGTTGGTGAATTTAACTTCACATCTGCCACTGCCATTAAACCTTTTGAAACACTTACGCTTCTATTTTTCGGAAATGACATTTTACTTAGAATAAAAAGATGGACGTATTTGAGTATCTCTTCGAATTGAAGCAAAACAAAGTTTACACACACAAACAATACAAATACATTGACAGAATAGTTCTTTATACAAACAATGGAAAATGTTATAGAATAGCAATATTTGCTGAACCAAAATATTTTCATAAAGCAAAGAAAGTTGGTATAACTGAAATGGTGAAAGTTCTCGACGTTGACAAAAATATAACAACAAAACTGACCGATATTTCTAAAGGAAAGTTTATAATACAATATTATGTCAAAACTGGCGTACTGTCAATATTTGACGGAGAGAAGTCAGTTCAAGAACAACTTACTGACCTGCTGCCAAAATCTGCTCGATGGAAGCTGTCGTTATACCAATCTGAGGAGCCCCAGCAGGTTTCATCGAACGAATCTTCAAAAGAGCATCTTCCGTGAAAAGTGCTATTGGTTTTGTAAACTTCTTTGCTTTCAATTCATCTGGACCGTCTCTGTCACCAGTATATTGTATTTGAACTGTACCAACAGTTGAAATACCACCCATAAAGTCTTCTGAGTCAGCAAATGGAATGCCAAGCCAAAAGTTTGAACGGTCTCCATTTGTATATTGAGTTTTTTGACCTCCTGTATGAGTCCATACTTTCACATATGGCATAATAGAACTTTGCATTTCAGGGTTAATGGTTGTTGTGAAGTTGTTGTTAAAGTTCATAGCATCTAATGTCAAGTTGTATGACCTCATATCCTCAACTGTAGAATATTCTTCTCTTGGATAGTATTTGCCATCTATGTTTATATGATATTTAATACCAGGGTTGTAGAAACAAGAATAGTCATTTATAGTTCGTCTGAACAGTACAAACATAGTATCTGCATGTTTCATTGCAGTTGTTAAGGCAATATCTGTTCTTGCACCTGGGTCAGCACTTTGGTTTCCAACTTCACCTGCAAAGTCTTTGACAGATATTTGGTGTATAGGGAACATAAGTGGAACTGCAATATATTTGGCAGCTAAAGCATTTGAAATATCTGGGTCCAACATATAGACTGCAAGTCTGCTTTCTATTCTCTTGCATTCAAATTTTTCGCATGTGAACTTAACTGGGTCCCAAGCAGTTCCAGCAGCATTGAAATAATAGTTTACTTCAGTGTTGAGGTTTGAGAAACCAAAGTCTAAGTCAACTTTGTCTTTGCAAAAGTCACAGAACTTGGCTCCACCAGTTCCAGCTACAGTAATGCTGAATGGGTCTTGCGTTGGTGCAATGACTAAGTTATTTTTGCTTGGAGTAAGTTCGATAGAAATTTTTCCTGCCCAGTTTGGTAAGTATCTTAAAAACCTGAAGATGAGGAAAGATAACAAAGGAACTCTAAGTTTCAGTTTTACTTTGGTTACTGCAGTTCCATCTGAACCAGAAAGGTTAACATAAACTCCTGGAACGTTAGGGTCAAGTCTTCTTATTTTCTCAATAGTTGCATACTGGTCTGTTTGTTCTCTAGCTTGTGGTTGTACTGAGTTTCTCAAAGCGAACCATTCATAGTTTGCCCATGTTACTGTTTGAACTAAGTCAGAGTTAGAATATATCTTATATCCCATGAAAACTTCTGGAGCATATTGGTATCCGACATAGAAAATTCCATTGCAACCTTTCTTGTCAGACAACTTGGCAGAAGGTTTTATTTCAATGTCTTGTTCCACGTATAAGAAAGAGTTGTCAATAGAAATAATATGAAACCTGTCGCAAGCAATATCTACTGTTGTTGAAGAACCTTCTCCAAACTCACCTACGTTTCCATAAGAAACAGCAGTTGTTATATTCGTAAGTTCCAGGAACTATTTCTGACCTTCTAATGGCATTGTCGCATTCGTTATACCATTCGGAAACATTTCCGTTCATGGCATCCAAAACTGTTGGCGTTATATTCTGAGCGGCGTACATTTCATATGGGTAAAAATATAGAATAGTTGAATTTATGTGTCATAATAGAACCCACGTGGACCAAGCTTTACTTTCTTCCTGACTGAGTTTTTAACTCTTCTTTTTCCTTCATTGCCACTACTTTCACTAGATGAAGTTACTTCTTCACTACTTTCACTTTGTTCTACTCTTCTCTTCTTCTTTGGTGTCGCTTTTGGTAACTTGCCCTCTGCTTCAAGTTGTTGCATCTTTGCCTCATGTTCACCTAGTATGTTGTAAATTTCCCATGTCCTTTTTGCCTTTGGGCTCTGGTCGCCCATCTCAGGTAACCAATATCCTAGAAAGATTTTGTCATAGTTTGTATTTGAGTCGTCGCTTATTGTTTGCATGACTCTTTCCTGAGTTTCCGGTTCAAGCTCTTCAAACAGAGCTTGTCCATATGGAATATGCTCGTTTCCAAATATATGTTTTTGTAGCCATTCTGGTTTTCTTTCCATGTAACCAATTATATCTTTTGTGAATGGGAAAGCTTTTACCCAATATTTCAGTCTTGCGTCATTTATTTCTGTAGTTGGTTTTATTTTGTCAAGGAACGTGTTTTTCAATACTAACATTTCATTTGGTACTGTCCATTTGAGTTTTCTTAAATATTCATCCCTTCTCAGTTCATTGTCTACAAAGTAAGTTTTTATGACATTTTGCAAACTTTCGTTTGCAAGGTCATGTACAATAGGTTCTCTTCCTTCTCTCTCCCTAACTTTCTTTCTAAACTCTTCACCAAATATACCATCTTTATGGTTCTGTGTAGTTCTTTGAGATAAATGTTTTAGAACGTCAGGTGTTATATTTCCATCAGCCATGTTCATTTCATACTGGTCCAAAATATCTGCATGTTTCATATCTTTCAATGGCATTAAAGCCGCGCTGAAAATACCAGCTATATCTGGTTCACCATTGACTTCCATTGCGTCTACAACTTCTTGGAATTGTGGTTGTAAGTTTATGAACCACCTATCCGGATTAGCTTTATGACCCCATCTCATTGTAGTTCCATAGTCTGCAGAAACAAAAGTAGGTTTGTTTCCATCTTGGTTAGGTTCTGAATGAACTTTAAACAATGTTTCATTTCTATATGTTTTGTTGAAATTTAACCTTTTATTTTCACCGAGTTCAGCCAAAGATTGAACGTTATATGGTCGTAAGTAGTAAAAAGGATTGTTGTATTTGCGTACATTTTCTTTCAGTACTTCCATTCTATGCTGAATATTTTCATCTGATTTGGAGTCTTTTGTATGTCGGCAAACATTTTTCGATATTCTTCTACTATGTCAGCTGAATTTTTCTTAGACTCTTGGAAAGATTCCATATTCACCTCATACTCTTGTTGAGGGTCAAGATTTTTCGGCTGTTCCAAATCTTCATCTAGTTCTGTGAAGTTAGTTTCCAAAGGAGGGACTTGTTCGTTTCCTTCAGGCTCTTCTAGCTGTTGTTGCTGAACTATTTCTTCCATGTCTGGTTGTATCTGAACTTCTTCCTGTGGAGTTTCTTGTACCTCATCTGCTGACATTTCATATATTCCGAGACCGTTTTTAGCAAATTCCCTATTTAAGTCATTCGCATTCATAAGCCTTTCTTCTTTCGTTCCGTCTCTATTTTTTACGCGTTTTATGAAGAGAGTTGAATTGTCATTTAGCTCTGACATCAAATATCTCGGAGTAAATTCATCCATGTCATTTGGATGATATGCTATTAAATCATATCCCTTAGTGAGCTTGTATTTTCCAGGTTTGAGATTATATCTGATTTGGTGCTGAGTCATAAAGCTAAATAGGTTCGGGTCAGTATTTCCTTCCTTGAACTTTCTAATAGCTTCTTTATATCTGTCACTAAAGTCAATAGTATCTCGGTAACCATACTCTTCCTTAAGCATTTTTAAGAATTCTTGGTTTCCTTGTTCTCTACTTCTTTTATGTCCTTGCTCTGTTTGTGGTTGTTGTGCTGGTTGTGGAGGTGGTTGTTGTGCTGGTTGTGGAGGTGGTTGTTGTGCAGGGTTTTGAACTGTTGGTTGTTGTGCTGGTTGTGGAGGTGGTTGTTGTGCAGGGTTTTGAACTGTTGGTTGTTGTGTTGGTTTTGGTGCACGCCTGTGTCTGTGTCCATGTGACGATGTAAATGTTTTAGGTAGTCCTGGTGCAGGTGCTTCTCTTGGAGGGTTTGGTGGTATATAAATTCCAACAGCTGGTATATAAGTTCCACCAGCTGGTATATAAGTTCCACCAGCTGGCACATATGTTCCATCTGCAGCGTAATGTCCTACCTGACTTTTCGTTTTTAAGAAAGCATTTACTAGGTCTGTTTTGGTCTGTTGTAACTCTTTTTCTTGACTTTCCACAACAGTTGCTCTAACGGCGTCATAGGCACTTTGAACTGCCTGTCTCGTTGCTGCATCTGTTATTTTCGTCATATTTTGTGCTACTTCTCTTAACTCTTTGTCGAAACCTTCAGACTTCAGTTTCTTTCCAGATGAGAAGTCGTTCACTAGTTTCACCTTACTATGAAGAGCTTCGAAGGCGTTCTTAAAGTCAGCATTCGTTAAAGCTTCATTTGAACTGTCTTCATCCGCTTGTATTTTTGTCCTTATTGACCCTATAAGTTGGGCTGCTTTAGCGTTGGCTTGGGCATCTAACCAGTCATTGTTAGCTTTTATATATTCTGCGCTTTTCATTGCCTTTTGCATGGCTGCGTCGTTATTTTTACTTTCTTGTGCTAAGTTTTCATACTGTACGGTTTGGTTTTGCAACTGTAAAAGTTTTTCTGCCTTTACATTTGCTTCAACTTCTTTTTTATACTCATCGCTATCCATATATGTCTTCAGGGCTTTTTGTTTTATCTCTTCATCTTTCAGTACTTTATATTGAGTAGTATGGTTTTTCAAATTTAAAACATCTTGTTCCATTTTTGCTACTTCTGCTGCTTTTTCTGACACTTTTTTCGCATATTGCTCTGTACTTAGTTCTTTCAGTTGTTCTTCTTTCTTCTTTTTCTCTACGTTTAACTCATTGAGTTTCTTTGTGTGTCTGTCGTATTCTAGTTTCTTTTCGTTTTCACTTATTTGTTTCTGTATGTCTATGTTTGACTTTTTGACATCTGTTATTTGATTTTTGAGTGAACTCAAATTCATTTGACTTTGAGGGTTATAGGCTGTTCCGTCTGCAGTTCCACCATAGCCTGCCATTTTCGCTAAAAGTGCCGCTCTTAAACCTCCACTCTGTGCACCAATGACTCGGTTTAAAAGCATAGGATTGCTTGACATTTGTTGCAACATAGTGGGGTCATTCAGCATTTGTTGTTGCAACTGTTGTTGTGGTGTCAGTCTTACTATTGGATGTTTCAATGCTCTCTTCCTCTTACGTATATTCTTACGTAGCTTACGTGGCATTTTAAGTGAAGTTAAAAAGCGGCTTTTGACAGATGTTTATATGACACTTTCTCCGGTTTATAGGACCTCTCTCATATTCTATCTTGTCATATCTAAACTCATAGTCATGTATGTCCTCTAACCATCTCATAACAGTTTCCAAACCACTTTTATCGGATGTAAAGTAAAAGCATGGATGGTTATGTAAAACGTCTAAAGTTTCTAAAGAGTCTCTCAAAGTATACTTCCTTGGAACGCCCGTAACTTTTCCTGTAGCGACGATAGACCCTTACTTGTCCGGACAACGTTATACTATTTTGAGTGCTCTACAAAAAAAGTCAACAGCGACGACTCTCAAAAATTTTTATGGGCTAGAAGGGGCGCAGCCCCTGGAAAGCCCCCAATACCCAAAAAAACTTCATTTATACTAAACATCTTCGGGGCTAGAGGGCACGAAGTGCCAGGAAGCCCCACTACCTTTTTTTTAATGAAATAAAAAATAAAATTTTTTTTAAAAAATAAACTTTAAAAAGAATTTGATGAGTTCAACATAGAACTTTAAGAAACTAATGATTATTTGAATTTATGAAATCAATTATTTGATTCATTCTTTCTTCAATCTCTTCTATTCTTTTTGTTAAATCATCTATTTTCATTAATGAGGTGATTCTTGATTGAGGAATAGATTTCAAACTAACCACCCCCTTTATTTTTGAAATTTTGAATCCATCAACTTTAAACATTTTATTCAATTTACATGTTGTCAATTCTTCAAATAATTTTTTATTATTAGCATAATAGTCATTAAATTCTTCAACAGATGAAAAAATTTTTATTTCAGTAATGGGTTTAACAATGTTTATTTTATTTTGAACATCTTCACTTTCATTTATTTCTTCCTCCTCTGTTTCATTTATTTTTAAAATTGGTCTCATTTATCATTAAATAAAAATTAGAATATAAGTGATGAAATATATTTTTTAATTAATATTAAATCAGAAATGGCTGCAGGATTCTTTAAAAAATTATGGGATGGAATTAAGAAAGCTGCGGGTTGGGTTTATAAAAAGATTATTAAACCCGTTGCAAACTTTTTGGCACCAGTAGCGAAAACGGCAAGAACTATCATAGGTGGAGTATTAGGTACTAAAGCAGGTAATCCAGCGATGGGAGCACAAGCAGGTAACGCAGTTGGTGGAATTGCTGAAGGAATACTTAATAAAATAGGAGGTAGATAGTGGAAAAATAAATTATTTTTATCTTAGTATCGGTTGAAGTCTTTGATAAACTTTTTCTCCTTTATTTAAATTTCTCTTATTGGGGCAGCTTTTGGTGTATTGATTCAGCAACGTCACTAATTGCTTCTTTATTCTTAAATATCCAATTTGCTCCTTCTTCATTGTTTCCCAAACTTTATGCGCTCCTCTTTTTACTTTATCCCACAGTTTCTTAAATATACCTGCAGCCATAGTTGATTATTTCATTAAAATTAAAAATTCATTTTCATCTTTTAATTTTGATTTTTTATTTATAATAAATGACGACTAACTATTTGGTGCCAAACACTAAACCGATTAATGGAAATGTATTTCATTCATTCGAAAAGATAAATGAAATATTCGCAAAGAATGACGGTAGAAGATATTATAGAGAACTTGAAAGTTCATGCTATGATTGATGATTGCTCCATATTTTGATGATAAACAAACTCATTTAAGAATTACAAATCCGGGCTCATGATGTGAATCAATTAGGTGACACACATATTTAAACGCAAAGTTAAAGCAATCTAGTTTCAAATAAAGCTTTCACATGTGATGCCGCTTTTAAATGCATGCGTTTATTCGTTGGTTACAAATCATCAAATCAAAGCTTTAAACAATTAGAAGTAGAAACCGAAAGAGGGGATGCCGGTTATCTTCAGATGGATTGCGCCCGTGAATCTTTCGCATTTGCAACATATAAACCAAAATCAGAAAGGAAAGTTAAAAAGTTTGTTCATTCGTTATATAATAATGTTCAAAATATGATAACTCAGTATGTGGTAAATATATTGACCCTCAGAAGTTTTCAAGAACGCAAATGAAGAAGTGATATCACTTTTGATATGATTTTCCGGTAAATGATTTGTTAGAATTTCAGGCGTTCGATGATTATCCTAAATCATTTGGTGATATCATTCTTAAATATTATGTTTTCAGGATATTTAGTATTTTGTCAGGTTGACCCGTTAAGAGTTGCTGATTTACAAAAATTACGTTTATGAAAAGATAACTGATGAAAATTATGAAAAGATTATGAATCATGTTTATAAATATTGATCGCAAATTCCAACAAATCGGACTTCCTGCCAAATTATTACAAGCTTAGCCGCTACATCTGCTGACGCAACAGTTGATGATGTTATTATTTCATGCACAAAGATGGAAGTTTTAGAGGATAAATGCATTACACCAGGATACGGTTTAATTGAAGAATCAGTTAAAGCAATACCACGTTTATTCAGTAAGGAAGATCCATTCATGATTCCAGCTCAACATATTGACGTTCGTTCACTAAATGGAGGTTGCATCACTCCTGAAGGTATTAGCTTCAGATTTCTCATACGCTCTTCATAATGTTACAGATGTTGTGTTAACATTTCCGAAGAATGCAATGCAAAGAACGGTTTTAGAAAATCCAATGCTTCGAGGTCTTCAGGTCACTATAGATTCCAGAAACTTCCCCGATCAAGCGATGACCACAGTGGGCGACATATTCTTTACACGTATGCTTCAAGCTTCTGATTTAGATGGAGTGAATGAATGCACAGAAGAATACGAGGACTCATTAACTAGACCACTGAATGATGATATGGCACGCCATTAGCTAGAACGTGGAAAGACCAAACTTCATTCTTATGCACTATTCCAGTTCAACGTGATGGAAGCGGGTATATTCTTTGATGGATTAGAAACTTTCAACTCACAAGTTACAGTACAAGTGAAAGCTTATCCAATCATTCAGGGTGAAAATGACACTTACTGTTCAAAGGTGACAAATCCTCCTCAGGTTTGGTTTACTAGGACTACATATTTGGACATGGACACCGGATGAAGGTTTGAAAATATCATCCAATAGGTACACCACCACAGTATAGAAGTTCATATGATGAAATATTGATGAATAGAAATGTTTAAATTATAAATTTATTTTTGATTAAATGGATTTAAATTCATCCACCCCTTATGAAGAATTAGCAGGAGTATATAATACATACGTAGATGATATGATTAATGAAGCATTGAGTGATAATAGAAATGCTCTATCTAAGGAAAAATTAATGAAAATTCCATATTCTGAATGTTACTTAAATTCAAATCACTGCAGCAATTGGTAAACAGAATAAAGGTAAAAATTAACGATATTAAAACAAATTATTTATTGCTAACACTTACCTATTCACATGTGTTAATTTATATCAACCGTTCGGTTCACCTTCAGATGATACATTTGAATCTTTAAAGCATTTAATCAAAATTCCAATTATTTATTTATCACAAGAAGAAGCAGAAGATTATTTAAAAACTTTTAATGTATAAAGAATTATATAATACAATCAAGAAGCAAGGATTAGAGGATAAAATTATTGATAAACAACGGGATGAATTATTTGAAACACTTTCTATTTCAAATTTTGATAGAGAATTTTTGCATTCACTCATTTTTCTAGATGATGCGGTGAAATCAAAACTAATAAAAATGAGAAATCATATTTTAATCAGTTATTAACTCAATGTCGACACATTCAGTGTTCATTCTTTATGGCTGTTCAATATTTCAAAGCATTAAGCACAAACATTAAATCAAAATCTATCAACACTTTTCATTTTCAGTGGGTTTAGTCGTCAACAGTTGAACGTTATGCTTTATCAAGTGAATTTACCAATGAGCATTAATGAACTTTACACACAATATCAGCAATTAGGTGAACATGGAAAAATAATAGTTGATTTAAATAAAGGAAGTGTTAAATTTGATTAACTTTTTTATAATTATTTTTTATTTTTTATTTATAATTAAACATGACAGAAATGGTAAATCTTCTACAGGTTCCATTAAAACAAGGAACAAACAAAAGGGGTGCATATAATAGGACTATGAAAGTTCCTGATGGAATGAAAGAATTAGTTCATATTGTTGCTGGTCTTCAAAAAGATGTTAAACAAATGAGAAACGTTTTAACATTACCAGAAGCTCAAGCATATGCCAAACGTCATGGTCCAAATTGGGAAGCACACGAAGCAGACATTACGGGTCCAAATGGAAAACCTGATGGTATAAATGAAGTTTTCGTTACTGATGGTCAAGGTAATATTAAAGTCATAAATGGTTATAAATTAACTATATCTGATTATCCTAAACGTAAAGTATATAATGAACGTTATCCTATGCAATTTGATGAAAATGGAAAAGCTGTTAAACAATACATTGGAGAAGGTGAAAATGGTCCAATTAATTCATTCCGTCATAATCCATATTCTTATTTCAATGAAGAATTAAATGCTATTGAAGAGGGACCGGATGGATTACCACGATATTCTAACCAGTTTGATGGTCAATATGCAAATATTAGACCTGAAATTTCAGCTAAGAAATTCTTTAAAGTTGCTTTATTCGATCCAGTTTTCGCAAATGTTAAAGATGAACTTAAACAGCAATTCCAACCAATTATAGTAGCAAGAATTGCATCAGGTGCTTTATCTCAAGCATTCAAAGATTTAATTAAGAAACCATTATATCAGCAACGTGGTTTAACTTATGATTTAGTTAAGGAATCAGATAAAAGAAAATTTGAGAAATCAGATGATTATAAGAATGCAATTAATGAATATATTCGGTCTATTAATTTCGATGAAACAGCTAAAAATCAACTTCATGAACAAATACAGGGAATAATAGATTCAAAAGTTCCAGCAAAATAAAAGTTTAAATATATTTTTTATTCGAATATAAATGAGAAGACGTTTCACTAGTCAAAAGAACACTAACGCAAAAGCAGAGATTACGGTTGGTTATAACGTAAATGATGATAAATCACGAATTATTCAAAATGTTAAAGTTAATGTTAGCCCCGAATTAACAAAGTCAGCAACTCAACCAAATTTATTAACTCGTGACTTACCGAAAAAGGAGGAGGAGCAAAATAAAGAAGATGGAGACCCAATCATTTTATCTGAACCTGGTAAAGAACCTGTTGAAATTCCCACTTATCCAACATACCCCCCACCTCTTTCATCAAACATCGAGAACCCATATAAAATAGACATTAATTCAGAATTAATGAAAATTTACCGTGATATAATAATTAATAATTATGATTCAATAATAAATTTAATTGATCAATCCGGTTTAATTATTTTACCTTATGAATCATTAATTCACATTATCGCCATTCTTTGTGATGTTCAAGATTCAGACGTTAAGATTCAATTTTTCATAGATGATGAGGTTTCATGCTGCGGAACAGTTGCAAAAATAAATCCTATAAAGGATATTAGCACAATTAAGATATCAAAGAACGGAACAACAACTGAACTTCATTTAACATATAATGATATTTATAATAAAATAGTTGATGAATATAAAATATCACTTGAAAAATTCTTTGTTAAGGCTATTTAATATTCAAGCATTAACATTATCGAATAATAATCCTTTGAATCATAATCAATAATAATTGACCTTTCACCAGTTTCTATCGTTTGTTTTATTTCTTTTTGTTCCCCACTATCCGGATCGGTCATTGTAATTGTTTTTGTTATAGTATCAGCTTTATCTTTAACTTCAATCTTTTTTCCATCGGGATATTTAAACCAAAATTCCAAAAATTCGATATTGTCAATCTGTTCATATTTTAATCTATCAATTACATTTTTAATACCATCTGAAAATCTTATGAAATGGTCATTATATGGGTTTGATTGAACTAAATTTGAATGAAGTGAAATATAACCTGTTGATGAATATGACATCGACTCATATTTTCTGAAAACACTAAAATTTATAACATGAATGAATTTCTAATTCGTTGAATTTATGAATTCTTGAGGTAATCTTATTCTAGTTTTATTTATCACTGGAAAATAACGCTTTACCATATTTTTAATCGTAATAAAAATGTCAATTATCAATATTATTTCGAATAATAACTGTGAATTAAATTTAACAGTTAGCGGAATTTATAATGTTACTCTCGTTTCTGTGAGTGGTAAATTTAATCCCATTCTTTTAGACCCTTCAGATTATATATCATTTATTAAAGATGACCATGAGCCACATAGCGGCGGGGTCGTAGACCATGAAAAAACGTATGATATGTATATAAATAATGTGATAGCGAAATGGGATATTAACATGATTTTAAGTTATTTAAATGAATCATTTATCGTATGGTATGAAGAAAATTTTAAATCAAAACCCGATAAACTTTTTGAACTTGATGAAATAAATAACCTTATTAAATTCCCGCTGAAAATTAAATTTTGTACTCCTCATCTTCGTTCATTGTTGGGGATATTAAATTTTGAAAAAGATGTTGGGGATGTTTTGTATTCTGACACTGGTTCCAATTTCATTTTAATCAAATGTGATAAAGTTAATACCCCAATGAGATTTTCACATCAAACATTAGACCCTAACTCTTACCCATCAATACAAAACATTTTATCCATCAACTTAAACACATTTTCTTTATCATATCCGTTTCAATTATCCGGGAATTCATTTATTCTTCATTCAAAAGATTTATCAAATATTAAATTTAGAATAACTGACCTATTTGATTGTGATTTAGAATTCATGAATGAAATATTATGGCAATTTCAAATAGAGAAAATAGCTGATGAGATAACAGATTAAATATTTATTTTTAAATCATAATAAATGATTAAACAACAGCAACTTAAGGCGCAAAGCACCCAGGTCCTTCAGACCATTACATACGCCATATATGCATATAATTCAAAGACGGCAGAACAAACGCAAAGGTTGAAATATGGAGATTTGGAGATAGTATTGAAAAATGAACATTTCGAATTCGTTTGCAAAGGTGGTGCAGTGATATCAAATATAAAAGAAATTTTATTTATGAATTCTAAAATTAAAGGTATAACGGATGATATAACATCAATTCCACCAGAAGAACAGAGATATTACGCATTAAATGCATTTCCTAAAGTTTTGAAGATTGGAAGGTTTAATTTAAATGAGGAATTCATAGAAGGTTTCCTAAATGACATAATGAAGAAGGTGGATAAGGAATATGTGGATAGTGAGTTAAATAAGAAGGCAAATTTGGTTTATGTTGATGAAAAAGATAATGAAATTAAAGAAAAGGTTGAATGGTATCATGAATGGACATTTGAGACTTTTAAAGTTAAAGCTGATACAGAATGGGTTTCAGGATGTTTAGACCTTAAAGCAGATAAAACTTATGTTGATGAAAATTATGCAAAGAAGTCGGAAGTAAATGATGTGATTACAAGCATGAAAAATGAAATACTTCAAACATTATATCCTATTGGTTCTATTTATACATCAATGAACTCAACAAATCCAGCAACAGTTTTAGGTTTTGGTATGTGGAAGCAGATTGTAGATAAATTCTTATACTGTGCTAGATATTCAAAGCAAACAGGAGGTTCGAAGAAAATTAAAGAAGCAAACCTTCCACCACACACTCATACAGGAACTACAAACTTTTCTGGCGACCATAGCCACTCATTAAGAGACCACCCATTATACAACTCAGAGTATGAAGCTGGCCATGACGTTTTATCTCTATCTTATAACAATGCAGCAAAAAAGATTTTTCGACCAACTGAACCAGGAGGAAATCATTCACACACTTTCACAACAAATCCAACAGGCTTGGGTAAAGATTACATGCCACCATTTGTGACTGTATTCGCATGGTACCGCGTTCATTGAATGTGCTTGAGCCCAGACTTTTGTGTCAAGGCTTACCGAATGAACTAAATATATTTTATGTCTGTAATTAATTAGGTAATGAAGTAATGGATGAACTGCAGAAATAATGTTTACGTTAAGTGACTCAAAGAGTCCGGAGACAAAGTCTCATGGTTTCAGGTTATTCAATAATTAATTATTTTTGAAGAACTGAAGGTGTCACTACGTCACCATGTCACCAGGTTAATTAACTTCTCTGAAAAAATGAGACAACATGACATTTTGACAACAACACAGGAAATTTGCTGCAGTCCAAAAATAACGTTAGTTTTAAAATTATTTTTATTTTTTTATTTTGTATGTAAGAACAGAAATGTCAGTCGAAGCAAAAACGTTCACGAACAAATCTAATGGCGAAACATTCACAAAAGGCACTTATAACGGTATTGAAGTCTTACGTAGAGACAAGGATGGTTACATTAATGCAACAAATATGTGTCAGCAGTTTAGGAAAGACTTTAGAAAGTTGTTGGAAAATAAGTCCTGGGAAGAGTATTATAAGGCATTTTGTGAAGAATATAGCAACCGCCGGAATTCAGACGGTTGTTTTTTTATACAAAATTCATGCAGGAATTCCTGATGAAATCAAACAGGTTAGAGGAACGTATGTAGACCCAAGACTTATAAACTATATAGCAATGTGGGCTTCTCCAAAATATTGCATAGCAGTTGGAAAAATTATGGACTCCATAGACAAGAAAGTTCATGAGAAATTAGATGAAGAAGAACTTGAAGATACAGTAGAGAATGCTAAACCTTTGTTCGAACAAGAAGTTAGAAAAATGTGTGAAAAACAATTAGAACATGAACGTGAGATATATTATGGTTATAGAGATTCTCCATACGAACTAGACCAATGGGAACAAGAAGATTTAAAGAGAGAATTTAGAGAATATGAACTCGCTAAGATAGCATTAGAAGCTGCAGAAAAGAAGTTAAAAGCTTGGGGGTCGTTTTGTACAAAAATATTGTGAGTAAATGAACCATTTATTTTTGTCATAAACGACCAAAAATAAATGTTTACGTTAATGTTTTCAGGTTATTCAATAATTAATTATTTTTGAAGAACTGAAGGTGTTACCATGTTACCATGTGCTACCAGGTTAATTAACTTCTCTGAAAAAATGAGACAACATGACATTTTGACAACAGTCGGGGAAATGATTTGTCATGACTTTGTCAAGACTTATGAAGGAGGCGTTGAAGATGTTATACCATCTAAGAACTTGAGAGAATCTAAACCAACTCATCTGGGACCATTAGAGCGGGAGTACTGGAAAGACAAAAAATATACCAGAAAGAATAAGAAAATTCTTCTAAACTTTTTCATTAGATGTAAATCAGACATGAACGAGAACAGTCATGATATCATTAAAGGTACCATTTATTTACACCAAAAAATAATGTTTATGTTAGCATGTTAGATCTAACACGTTTTCTAACCACTTTTCTAACATAACTATTTACAAACGTTTACATGGTATATGTTGCGATGGTTCATGACTTTAAACAGTTTTGTAGCTTCTATTTCTTCACGAAGAATATCAAAAATTTTAACTATGCCGAAGGTTTCTTTATACTTCTTCTTGACATCAGATAATAGGAAATCGTCAGCTGTTGGATAGTTTTTGTTCAGAAATGCTAACATGTCCATTTTATCTTCTGCTGGTTTCTCTACTTCTTTCTTTAAGTCAGCATAGTCGTTTCGCATACGTTCTATCTCTTTGACGGAGTAGTTATATTTCCTTATTGCTGCTTTACATTTTGAACATTGTGGGTTCATTTTTGCGTTATACATTGAAATTTGACCTGCTAGAACAACTAAGGCGTCAATGGTTTTCTTTAACTCAGAATATGTAGGTCTGATTTGTTCGTTCCATATTTTACATCTTTTATCTTTATCTCTTATCTGCCATACACATTCAGCAACTAACGAAACAAAGTTGTCGTAGGTCTTAAATTCTTCAGATTTATATATGTCAGAGATGTTCTTATATACCATGTCGCAATCTTTGTCCATAACTTTATGGTTGCAATGATATCCTAGAAACTCATAGTTTACTTTACGTATGAACTTCTTTATTTCTACTGAGTCAGTTGGTTTCACTTCTATTTCATCGAATTCATGAATAGTGAGCTTTTGTTGTTGGATTTCAGGCAATTTGGGTAAATGGTCAATAATGTCCTGCATGTCATAAAGATACTTTTCATTTTGTTCATCTTTCGCACAACAGTCCAAAGTACTTGTTAAAAGTTCTTGCTTTATCTTCTGGATTTCTGTCTCAAAAGTATATGAAGAAGGAATGAAGCTTTTCATCTCTACTAACATAGATGTTGGATTCATAACTAAAGAGTTTGGTGAAGTTGTTGTTTGAAGTGTTGTAGAACCTATTGTTGAAATCATATCTTTACATACAAAATAAAAAAAATATTTTATAAAAAACTAACTTTATTTTTTATTTTTTTTGTGAAAGTGTTAAAAATAAATTGTTTTCATGAGTTTTGTGTGTTTTAGACCATGTTAGAAAAGTGGTTAGAAAACGTGTTAGATCTAACATGCTAACATAAACAGGTTGAACCAAACGATAATGAGGATTCATTTACTGACGATGAAATACCTGTAAATGATGCTTTATAAAGTATGATTGGAATTTATTTTTGCCTTCCTCATTAATCCCACTGTGTTGTCAAAATGTCATGTTGTCTCATTTTTTCAGAGAAGTTAATTAACCTGGTAGCACATGGTGACATAGTGACACCTTCAGTTCTTCAAAAATAATTCATAAATGCCTTCCTCATTAATCCCACTGTGTTGTCAAAATGTCATGTTGTCTCATTTTTTCAGAGAAGTTAATTAACCTGGTAGCACATGGTAACATGGTAACACCTTCAGTTCTTCAAAAATAATTAATTATTGAATAACCTGAAAACCATTAACGTAAACATTATTTTTGGGTCATTTACACTCATTACGATGAAATCATCATGACAAAACATTTACGATGAAATCATAACAAAGCATTTACGATGAAACCTTGACAAAACATTTACGATGAAATCATGACAAAACATGTTAGAAAAGGTGTTAGATCTAACCATCTACCCTAAACATTATTTTTGCTGAATTCAGCAACAAAATGAACGAGGTCAGGATATATGTAAATACCTTTGAATTCATTTATAACGCCCTTAGTAAGCTCATAAAATGCTTGTTTTGAGGTGGAGCCAAAAGTGGCTCGACCGTATTCTTTCAACCAAAACTCAAGAATTTCCTGCATGAATTTTGTATAAAAAAACAACCGTCTGAATTCCGGCGGTTGCTATATTCTTCACAAAATGCCTTATAATACTCTTCCCAGGACTTATTTTCCAACAACTTTCTAAAGTCTTTCCTAAACTGACTGACTGACGGCACAAAGTGGCTTAACGAAAACATTAATATATAAAATTCATGAAAATTCATGAGGGTAGAAATGAGGGTAGATATCAGGTTAGATCTAACATGCTAACGTAAACATTATTTTTGGGTCATTTACACTCATTACGATGAAGAAGTCTTGACAAAACATATACGAAGAAGTCTTGACATAGAGTTTACGTTCATGTTTGACATAGAGTTTACGCTCATTACGATGAAGTCATGACAAAACATATACGTTCATGTTTGACATAGAGTTTACGATGAAATCATGACAAAACATTTACGATAAAATACCTTCCTCCTGTGTTGTCAAAATGTCATGTTGTCTCATTTTTTCAGAGAAGTTAATTAACCTGGTAGCACATGGTAACATGGTAACACCTTCAGTTCTTCAAAAATAATTAATTATTGAATAACCTGAAAACCATTAACGATAAAATAACTGATAACAAATTTTTATTTTTATCATAAATGGATACCCCACAAGCTCAAAATTTACCACGAATCATAACAAGGGAGGAAACGATAAAAATGATGCGAGAACTTGCTAAAAATAACAAACCACTAAAACTGAGAAGATGCGGTTATGCAGTAATGATGGAAAGAGAGACGTTGTCGAAGAGGAATAAAAATTAAATTTGGATTGAGTTTAAAAATTCATCTTTATTAAATTCATCTCTTCCAATCAATTTATTTATTCTATTAAATTCTTTTATTTTTGCTTCACCCAGTTTAAGGATTGAACGGTAAGTTTCTAATTTTTCGATTATTTCTTTCCTCTCTTCATCGTTTTCAGTTCCATTAGTTTTATGGGCATCAGCCCCACCGCATTGCGACTTCTTTTTGTAATAGCATATTTTTGATTTAATTCTGTTTAGTTTCTTTTTATATTCATTGTCTGGACTCTGAATCTTAATTAAATCAGGACTCTTGGCTGCTTTGTTATCACTCATTTCTTACGAAATAAAAAAATTAAATATTATTTAAATATAATGGAGTAATAAAATAAATCGGAATTTCTATTAATTTATTGTCAACTTCAACTAATGCATTGCCGTTAATATATCTAACAAATTCAGCTATTGTGTCAAATCTTCGTCTTCTTTTTGTCATTGATTTATCAGTTTTTCCATAATCGAGATGAATCAAAACTTTATTTCCTTGTTTAAAATTCATGAGCCCCGAATTAATTTGTTCACGTTTAACATCATTCAACCTTTCCATTTGCTTTCTAATATATTCCCATTCTTTTGAAATATCATTTTTCATTTCCACTGGTTTCATGTTTATAGTTCTATGCCATGTATTATTATAATAATATACTAACTGTTGTATGATGGAGTCATGATTTCCATCCCAGTATATCTGACCGTTAACCCCTAACACATCTCTAAGAGTTCTCATTACCGCATCAACTATTTTATTATGAAACGTATATGGAGAGGATGAAAAGAAAAAATTAATTTGTGGGAAATAATGAGTCATAGTTGCCTGAAATCCTTTATCACCATCACCCCTGATATTATCTACTCTTTCATGATCTAGTAAGTATTGAATAGCTCTTCTTGTTTCCTGTTCTGTTTTCCCTTTCACTGGAATGCAATATAAATATCTAGTGTTAATGTTAATGGCAAATAAATAAGTAACGTTTCCTTTTGAATATTCCAGATGATCGATTTCGTATGAATATGGATATGGAGCAAATGAAGGGCGACTAAATTTTCCTTTAACGGTTGAATTTTCGGGTCAATTGGTTTATTTAATATCTTGAAATCCTTTTTAAAATCTTTTTGCTTCTTTAATGTTTGAAATGGATATAATAAAGTGAATGATGAAGGATTAACTGAAGGAGGAGGCGGTACTGTCGTTGGAGGTTTTGGTGTTGCAAGTGGTTTAATTTTATCTGCTTTGATTTTGGAATTCATTCCCCCCTTCATTAATTCTGGATGTATTCTATTCATTTGTTTTAAATATGCTGTATATAAAGGTTTGATATACTTTCCCGCTTCGAGTTTATGTTGAAGGATGAATTCCAAAAGTTGATCTTCATTTAAAAGTCGGGCTGAATATGGTTTAACTAATGAATCATAAATTAAAGCTTGTGCATCATTTATGGTCTGAAGAACCTGGGCGTTTTGTTCCTTTAGCTGTTGAACATTTGCTACTTTAGACCTCGGCTTTGGCTTTTGCGGCTCAGGATTATATAAATTATATAATTCATCAATATCTTCTTCTGTTAATACTTTATTTTTGAAATCTTTCAACTGTTTAAGTTGTGATTTAGTTTTTCCCTTTGTATATTCATTATTTTTAATTTTGTCTTTAATTTCAGAAATTATTTTATTATGATATTTCAAAATTTCATTTTTATAATATGGATAATAATATTCCATATCATCACCCGTTATATTATTATTATATTTTTGGAGATATGATTTTAAATCGTAATAACTAAGAAAATTTTGATTAAATACTAAATCATCAATTAAAATTTCTAAATCTACATTATCCATTTATATAAAAATAAAATAAATGTTTTAAGGGTGCCCACCTCTTTGAATCATAGTATCAAAACCATCATTTACATATTGAATCGCATCATTAACGGTTCCTTTTGTCTCTTCTGTGGCATTTTATTAAAAATAAAATTTTAAATTCATGACTCAACCCCTACGTTTTTAAATTGTATTAAATAAATGGCATACAACATCCATTTTCACAACATACAGCCTTAGTGTGTGCTCCTGTTAATGCAGTCTTACCGATTGTTAAGCGAGTCATTGACCCGTTTTTAAGTTGTAAATTAATATTCTGACCATCAAATATCACTTTATCATTTATTATATCCAAATATTTTTTAGGTGTTAATTGCTTATTTTGTCTTAAACTAACACCCTTCATTTTTTGTGCAATCTTTTTAAAATCACCCCCATCAATTGAACCGTTGAATGATGTATAACATTTAGGACATAAAGCAACCATGTTATCACCTTGTTTCTCAATTGCTAAACCCAATAATTTTTTCTCATGTGCTTTTTCTTTGGCTTTATTCTTTAATTTAGGTTTAAATTTCTCATCAAAACAAAAGAAATCAAAAGGTGCGAATTTGAAAATGTTTTTATCATAAAATTGTTTATCGGTAACAATTGCTTGAAATGCTTGAGTGTTAGGAAGATTTGGGTCGCCAGCGATTGCCCAATAAGATGAATCAGTATCACCTTCAATGAAATGAAAACGATTAACATTCATGCATTTATACATAAAATCATAAATGAAAACCAAATACCAGTATTTAGCATTATCTAAAGTGAAGAATGCCTCTTGTAAACATGTATCACATCTATAAAATCTATCTTTGAGCATCACTTGATATGTATCCTCACCTATTTCTCTTATGTTTTTAAACTTATTTGACATACATGCAACGCGTGACTTCTGTGCATTCATTATTTTAGTCTTTGCGTAATTTTGTGTATTCATTGCATCGTAACCATATGATCCATTAAGCGAAATCTTGCAAAATAAACTTTTTCCTTTATTTCCTTCTAATTCAGCCTTTTGTCTTTCGTTCATAAATTCGTTCGCAAATTCATTAAAACAAGTGTTTTTCGTAAATGTTAAAATTGATTGAATATCATCAATGATAAAATGAAATCTGTCTATTAGATACCAAAGATAATAAGAAGAAAATGATTGATATTGGTTGTGTGTTGATGCTAACTGAGTTAATTTCCTCTGTTTCTGGTCAACTGGTAGATTGTTTGATTTCATGTAATTATACATAAAACTACCAATTGTTTTTTCATCTGTGATAATATCTAAGTTTCTTATTATCGGTAAAAAGTTTATGTAATCATTAATGTATTTTTCATCAATGTGACCCTTTACTTCAGCCACGAATAAAGTATTTTTCTTCTTAATTATTCCCAGTGCTTTTGCTTTCTTTGTTGCTGTATCACAAATGATAACACCATTCAATCTTCCCGGCATATACATTTTATGGTCAGTATATTGAATGAAATCATGAGGATTAGATGAAAATGATGAAGGATATAATGAATTAAAATCAACACCAACGAAATGAGTCATGATGTTGGAAGTGTCCTCATTTGATACAGTTTTAGTTTCTGGATTATATGAAAGTTTATTAATGTGCGTGATTCCTTTAAGATTAACACGGTGTTGAACATTTGATAAACCACCAGTAATTCCATTACGGAGAATGTGATAAGCTTCAACTGAATCTAAAGTCATTGGTAAATTATTTTTTAATGCATAATTTCTTAAATTGATTCTTAAACGTTGAACATCTTCATCTTTATTTGATTTTACGACATTGCAATAACAACACATTAACTGACAATTTTCTTTGGTATGTGGTTTTTCATTATCTATTCTATCCAATGTTGGTTTATTTGCATATGTAAACGCTTTACCACACATTTTGCATTTAGATGAAAGGATTAAATCGTGATAGTATTGAAAATCATCCATTGAAACATTATTTTTAGTATCCCTTTCTGCTTTTTCATCTTGTTTCTTATATGATTCAATTTTATATTTCCAATACTTTTTCGTTAATTCAAAACTTGATTCTATCTCTTCCTCAGGATATTTTTCATTAGGATTAAAGTCTTTATATGCTAAAGCGTAACGAATCATTGAAGCATTCGATGATAAAGAAAGATTATGAAGCATATCAATTTTATAAACAAATGTTTCTTCAATAATTTTATCGATTGAGTCAATCATAATTTCAACATCTTTATTGCAATAATGAATAAAATATTCTAATCTATTCTTAAAATTTTTAGCATCATTGAGATATATTTGATAATCACTATCTGATATAGTTTCTTGAGTTAATGCTGAATAAAATGAATCTTTCGTGAATGGTTCCTCTTTATATAATTCTTCTTCGTAATTCTCCCATGTGATAAATTGATAAGGGAAAAAGGATTTAACACGTGATTTATTGTTTCCGAAATCTTGAGTGAATTGGTCTAATGTCCCACCCGCTATATAATTTCTGATGTCAATAAATCTCAATTCATATGGAACGTTTGTTTTCTTTACAATGACTTGCTTAAATTGTGAAGATGAACCCAGCATTGATTTTATTTTCCATTTTGCAGCGTTTAAATCACGAAGAATTAAATTTAAATCAAACTTTCCCGAATTAAAACCTATGATATTCACTTTATTGAATTCCTCATCTAGAAGTTCTTTAAATGCTTCCTTCTGTCTTTCATTTAATGTATGGAACAAAGTCCCCGCCGTTTGCGACTTCAATAATTCATTGTATTGACTCATATTTGATTTAGCAACTAATGAACAGGTTGAAAATAAAAACTCAATCCAATCAGAAATAAAAGAATCACTCGAAGTTAAGCAAAAATTCCTCGTATATGTTTTATCATTTAATTTAACCGTTGATGATACCATGAATGGTTTTAAGTAAGCGTTCAAAGTTGCACACTCAGAAAGTTGTAATTCTTCCTTAGTCTCTAATGTTTCAAAGTCAAAAGTAATATAATATCTTGTCGGTTGATAATATTCCTGCAAATTGTGAGCTAATAACCACTGATATATCTTCTGTTTCGTAATATGTGGTGCATATGGTTGCTGGGTCTTTTGCAATTGAACGTCTTGAATTAATCTTCCATTATTTTCTTTACATTTCTCACAATGCTTTAAAAATCTTCTTTGGTTTTTCCTTTCTGGATCATCACGGATAGAATAAACTTCTTCTTTACAATATGGACAAACTTTATAGCCGGTGAGTGCTTCAACGTCTGTTATTCTGTCAGCGTGAAGTTTTCCACATGGACTCTGTGTTAATAAAATATTTACTGTTTCAAATTCTGGATCTATCATTATTGATTCCACTAATGGAAAGTCTACCTTATTTATGTCCACGTCTTCTGGTTGAGGATCACAATAATAGAAATCAATATTAACATTTAACATTCTCGCTAATCTCTCACTTTCTGATGAAATGTCAAACCCTTCATATGAATCTATTGCTTCATTTAAATAACTTCTACGAGTTTTAGGATTAACACCATCAGGAATGTTATAGAAGCGTTTAAATAACCTTCTACCTTCTGCTCTAATTTGATTATCATTCATTTTAGCTGTTCCGTTTTTGTTCATTTATGTAAGAATAAAAAATTAAAAAATAAAGTTTATTTTTTAAAGCCCATAAAATGAATTAAGAACACATAAATTTTTATCATCTGCGACGTGACGAATACATTTTAATTTACTCAAGAATGCGTACCCTGATACATTAAATCTAATTCCTGTCTTATTTAATTTCACAACTTTGAAAAGGAATGTATGAATAGCTATAAAATGATGAGAAGATGTTTTATGGGTTGCTTCCATTTTTTCTGAAATAAATGAATAAATATAATGTTTATAAGTTTTCATATCTTTTATATTCTTAATAACGAATGGTATAGACCTTTCCACTTCATCTTCCTTCGGTGCTGTTCTTTCATATGAAACATTATTGGTATCTTCAATAATGAAACCACAATCACACAAAATTTTATAGGTTCCAATGGTTTCTTTTGATATTTTATCTAATAAATCAAAAACTTTATCAACACCTGTGCATTTATTTAAATAATAATTTGTGTAAATATCATGATCTTCTTTCTTAATCGTATTAGTTGCATATGTCACGTTTTTAAGAGCTTTTTTGAATTTTTCGGAATCGAGAGGGGGTGAAAGTAAGATACAAGGGTATTTTTCATTATCAATAAATTGTAACTTATGTTTACGAATAAATTTAGTACCTTCTTCTGAAAGTGTTTCGTCTATTTCACCATCTAATAAATTTTGTGTTGATTCTGAGACATAATTTTTATATCTTTCTTCATGAGATTTCTGTACTTCTGATTCTGAAGCTGGGATATTCATTAAACCCTCTACTTCATTTTCATTATATTTTTCAACTTCTCTTAATTCCTTAATTTTTTCATCTATTTCATCTCTTATTTTTTCCAGTTTTTCAATTTCATTGTATTCATCATCATCTTTAATCCGTTCTTCATAATATTCAGGGAAAACATCAGGTTCTTTAGGTTTTTCTTCTTCAGATGTGGGATATAAGAAATTTATAACATCATCTTTATTCATTTTTCCATCATAATCTAAATCATTTAATAACTCGGCAAATTTTTGACAATTTCTTAAATAATATTTACTAACTTCATAACACATCTCATCTAATATATCCTTTATTTCCTCGTTTGTGAATCCTAATTTTTTAACGTTGTTAGTTTTGACGCTCATTTCATACGAATTAAAAATAAATTATTCAAAAATGTAAGACATTGAATTTTTAAAGTTTATTTTTTTATTTTTTTATTTTTTATTTCATTATGGTAGTGAATCTTTTATTCATGAAAATAATTATTTCTAATTTCTTTTACTCGTTTATGAGGTCTTTGATTATGACTCCATTGATTCCATTCAGGATTTAAACAATGTTTAATTAATCGCGGAATATCTGACATCATCTATATATAGCTTCTTTTATAAAAGATAAAAAATAAATTATTTTAAAATTAATGTTAATTTTTTAATGCGTTTAGTATATAATATTTATTACTAATTTATTTAATAATGTCGCGCTTTCTTACGAATTCATGACTTAAAAAACGTAAGAAAAAATTTTATATCATCTCTATATAGAAGATGTGAAAATATACCTTCATCTATATATAGACGTAACAAAAAAAGTCACACAACCCGTCATACCATACTACTTTTGTTTATTGAATCTCTACTTATACCTTTCATTAGCCACATTATCCTGCTCATTAAATTGTCAATGATAGGTGTGAATTCTGCCTAACAAAGCCCGTATGAGGCAAAACCGTGCAATAGTTCTCAAAATTGAGGGTAGTTTTGGCCGTATAAATATGACTTATTTTACGGCTCCATTCTTTGCATAACTTACAATATTAAGACTCAAAATAAAATATGGAAAATAGCTTTACATCATTAAAGCAATGCATAATCAATATTTAATTTGGATGTCATTTCGCCAATACTATACAGCAATTCATGATTAAAAGTGAATCATCTGAAGGCGATGCTTCTTTTCTTAAAAAAAAGAATGTTAAATATCTATTTCTAAGCGATGCTATATTTCTTAATCAAATCAGAACCTATTAATATATGTATTCATACTTTTTATCGGCTTGAAGCTTCTCAGAAAAAGTGTGAAACATATTTTGAATATGTTTAACACAAATCTCAAATGGATATTGTTTATTTTTAAGACAATTATTTGAACTTCAATAGATATTATTTTTTAATATTTTATTGTTCTCTATAATTATTCTCTATTCTGTTTTTTCTCCCAAAAAGTATTTTTTCACAGAAAACCTTGCGATATCAAGAGCAGTTTTTCCATTTTTATCCTTTGCTTCTTTATCAGCTCCAATAGAGATAAGATATTTAACAACTTCAAGATGACCATGATATGACGCAAGAATGAGTGGAGTAGATCCATTTTTATTCTTTGCTTCTTTATCAGCTCCAACAGAGATAAGATATTTAACAACTTCAAGATGACCTTTTTGTGATGCAAGAATGAGTGGTGTAGATCCATCATTATTCTTTGCTTCTTTATTAGCTCCAACTGAGATAAGATATTCAACAACTTCAAGATGACCGTGATATGATGCATACATGAGTGGAGTATTTTCACCATTAGACTTTGCTTCTTTATCAGCACCAACAGAGATAAGATAATTAACAACTTCAAGATGACCTTTTTTTGATGCATAAATGAGTGGTAAACCTAAAGATTCTACTTTATAGTTACTACCTTCTATAAGAGATTTAATACGATCGAGATTTCCTTCTTCGCATGCTTTAGTAAGGGGATTTGAAAACATTAAAATTTTTGACTAATCAAAAAAAAATTGACTAATATTCCTTCAAAAGTTGTAACTTATATTCAAGTCTTTCACAACCACTTGTTTTACATTTAATGTATGTAGACACATGAATGTCAATGTTCGTGCCTTTCAAGATTTACCATTATGAAATGTATTCTAATAGAAAGACTATGAATTTGAACTCTTAAACAAAATTAGAACATAAGACATTGTTCTATAATGAAATAATAAGTATTCAAATCAAGGTAACATACAACATTCAAGGAAATTTGCATTAGAAATCTCAAATATTTCGATGAAGTATGCTCAAAGCTATACTAGACTTCTAAAATTTAATTTTACATTTTTATCAGTCTTTTTGTTTATAACTTTCTCATAATTCATGACTATGAAATTTTATTGAATATTCATACTTGTATTTTGACTTGAAAGAAAAATCTCGCATTATCGAATTTTTAAATGTAAAAGATTAAGCATTAGATTTAAAGTAAATGATTTTAGCATTGTAAATGTCGGATTATTAAAAACTTATACTGCCATTACTCGTAAAATAAGTTCCATATTCTCTGATATTAAGCTAAAATTTAGTTTAAAGCGGAAAATACTTGAAGAATTAGTAAATGTTTCCCCACTTTTGGAATTTTTGTCAATTTCCTTATCGTTCCCTTCTTTTAGCAAACTTATGTTTTCCTGAGTTTGTCAGGATATTTACACTAAAAATTTTTGTAAAACTCTCAAAAACTCTGGAATTTTCGGCTGGATGAAAAATCACCTTCAACAATGCAATCAGTAAAATCGGCATCTTCACAATTGACCGGCATATTTTCCTTTTTGTTTAATCCTAAAATGAGTTTGAAATAAAAATCATTCAAGATTTTTGTAAGAGAACCGTTTAATCAAAGAAATTCTTAATGTATAAGGATTCTCAACCAATGATAAAACGAACTAACGCATTCATTGTAAATAAATCACAATCAAAATTAGATTTTACGCCAGAAGTCACTCAACTCAGGGTGCCCCATGGAGATTGAATCAAGGAGTAATAATGAAATATATATTATATTAGTTGAGCTTATATCATATGTGTGTGATAATGAGTGATTTATGATAAAGAATTCAATGTTATTATTTCATATTAACAAATTTAGCTATATTTGAATATGAATGAATTCCAAACGATTTGGTATTAGGGGATGCTTTCTATCAATGCCAAAACATAAAATTAAATTTAAAATGGAGAAATATAAGCCAGAATACTTGAATAGCTTGGTGAAATACCAAATAATGATATATAAAAATATGACTCTCTAATATAGAATGTTTCAAAGTAGGAAATGAGCTAAATAATTTGGTAAACTTTCCATGGGAAGGATTTGAAAGGATTTTGCTATAATAAGTGTATAATATATGTGATGCGAAATTGATTAGAACATGAGTTTAAAGGATTAAACCTGGAAAAATAATTAGAATATATACTGAAATAAATGATATAATTTATATAAAAATAAAGGATTTAGCTAAAATATTTAAATAACTCTCGATCCAAAAATTCACAAAGTCTTCAAAAGTTTCGAGAAATCTAATTTCTAATAAAATTTTCGAAATTTAATTTTTTTCGAAAGTGTCAAATAACGTATTTTCTTTCAGAAATATTTTTCAAAAATTTCATGTTTTCCTTGATTATCAATGTACAATGAGTAATATTTTTGGCGATGTCAGAATTTTTTTGATTAGTTTACAATTTTATTTGAATAGTTTACGATTTTTTGCATAGATCAATTCCTAATATCATTATATATACATTTTAATTATTATAATTTTGGTCGCTCAAATTCAAAAACCATAAAGTTTTGAGAGTTGGAGTACTTTTACGCCGCATAAATTCACATAAATAAAATAAAAGGAATTAAGGGTGCACCCGTATGTACGTTTATTTGAGAGGAGGAGGATTACCCTCTCAATTTTGAGGGATTCGTTAGTTTATTTTCTCGATGAATATGCAATAAAATTTGATTTTTACCTTATCAATATACTTCATATAATATACACATGTTCATGTAAAAACTTTTTTCTAAAATCCTCAGGAATTAAGGGATTTTTGAATTTTAAGAATTTTTTTCGAATTTTTTCGAAAAAAAAAATATTTTCAGAACAGCCTTAACGGCTAAGATTTAGGAACAATGTTAAGTATCAAAAAGAAAGGAAGTCTGATATAAAACCAAAAATAATTGTTATAATTTAAATGAAGAAGTAATTTAAAACGATTTTATTTATGATCAAATTTTATATATTTTTTTGGATCAAATCCATTTTAATAGAATTTATATACTATTCATCTATTAGTAAACACTACCGTATATTATTTTTTAAGCTATCTTATTTTTTGAAGTTTTATTCAAATCTTTGGTCGCAAGAAGAATTGCATGATAAATAAAAACATTTAATCAAAGTCAATTTCATTTTTCATATTCAAATGGACTGAGTGTTAACATTTAACATTTTTTGCTAATTGTCGTCAAAAATTAGGCGTAAAGCAAAAATTGATATTTCATATGGTTTTATGATAGATAAGCATTATATTCCCACTCATTATATTCGTAAATTTTGAGGTTTATCCTTCGCTTTTAAGATCATTGAATTTGATTTTTATATAAAATAGTTATATATTAGAAAATAATATGAGTTTATGTGATATTATTTTTCAGAAGATTTCATTCTATATGCCTATGAAAAGTACTCTCAAAACTAACTTTTTCCTAATTATAATTAAATCTAGAATATTGTATTATGCTTAGTATTATTTCATTTTTCTCATTCAATTTAGAATTTACAAATGTCAAAAAATTGAGAGCTGTCACTTTTGATGAATTTCTGTTTATTACAAGGATAATGCTTTGAATATATAGACAATAATACTTTGTCTAGAGAATTAAATTTGTGCTATCCAATTGTCAATTCTTTGAATTTTTTATAAAATGCACGATATTCCGGCATTAGCCTCAATAAATATAAACTACATGCATCACAATATTAGGATGTAATGGCATTAAAGCGAATTTCCTAATTTCTTCTCAATTAAATTCCTAGAAAAACTTAGGAATTAATGATTGGAAATAGGTCAAAAAAATTCCTAATATAAAATTTATACTTAAGTTAAAATCAAAATTCGAAAATATCTATTTTTCAAAACACGCATCCAGAAGCGAAAAAATTCGAAAAAATCATGTTCTTATAAAACTCGCTGATTTTGCAATTTTTATGTGATTTGAAGTGATAGAATGTATTATCATCTTACTAAAACATATACTTTATTGTTACATTCACAAAATATTAATCAGAACACTAGGAAAAGTGGATTTTCGAAAAAAGACGATAACGATTATTTGCAAATCGCCTCTCAATTTTGAGAGACTTTCAATTTTTACAGTGGACCCTTAAATAGTTTACAACTTTTAATCATCATCTTCTTATTTGAAAATTTTGCAAACTTATGGCCTAATGTTATCATATTGATTTGATACAAGATATAATCGTATATCAAATATTAACGATTATTGTAAACAAATCATTGAATGCGTCGAATTTTTGCGCCGCCTCGGCCATTCATGAAACCCTCATCCCGGCCTTATCCATCATGGGGCCATCCTGAGCGGCCAGATGTAGAACCTCAATTTCACCGATTAGACGCTACAGATTTTAACGTTTCTCTTGAACCTTCGATAAAATCCAAATCTTTCAGAGAATATGATACCGAAATTCAATACAGATTGATCACAAATGACTCCACCGATCAAAGCCTCATATGGTTAACGATGGCAAGAAATATTTTTCACCATGAATTATCACAAATGCCAGAAAATTACATTTCCAAGCTTGTATTTAACAAAAACCACTTCACATGTGTTTTGATATTAGATGGCATGGTTTTTGGAGGAATTTGCTTCAGACCTTTCTTTGATCGAGATTTTGCCGAAATTGCTTTCTGCGCAGTATCATCTACTGGACAAATTAAAGGCTACGGATCTCATATTATGTCGCAGGTTAAGACTTATATGCAAGCTATGCAAATTCATAATGTTTTAACATATGCAGATAATTCTGCAGTCGGATACTTCAATCGTCAAGGTTTTACGCTTCAGATTAACCTTGACCCTCAAATTTGGCGTCATTGCATTAAAGATTACCAAGGCGCGACGCTCATTCACTGTAAATTATATCCTTCCATAGATTATCTTCGTATTAACGATGTAATTGACGCTCAATTGAGATGGACATCTGACTTATTACCAGATTATCCTACTAGAATCACCAGAGTTTGGCCAATCAAAAGATTTTCCGGAGTTCTCATTAATTCAACGCCGACAATCGATGTTACAGACCAGATGCGTATAGTAGTTGACAAAGTCAAGCACCATTCACGCTCATGGCCTTTTAGAAAGCCAGTTTCTAAAAATGAAGCTCCAAATTACTTCGAAATCATCAAGTTCCCAATGGATCTGTCAACATTGGAGAAGAACGTTTACGATGGAAAGTACACAACGTTCCAGAAATTCGAAGCCGATTTAAGGCTAATTTTTTCGAACTGTTATATGTATAATAAAGGTGAATCCGTGTACAGAAAGAGTGCTATAGAGTTGGAAAGATTCGTAAACCAACTTTTGGCCTCTCAAAAAGTGAGATCTCATATCTCAACAAAACCAAAGTAATTTATCCTTGTTTTGTTTTGTTTTTATTTTATAAATTTTTGTTTTAGTTAATTGTTTTCAAAATACACTGAAATTTCATTTTCAAATTTTGAAATTTCATATCATCCAAATATGTTATATTAAGGGACTGCAGTCTCTTTTGAAGTGACAAACTGTAGGAATATCTTACTAATTAGTAAAATATATGTATAAAGCCTCTGAAGATGTAACATATATTCAAGTTCTTCACAACTACTTGATTGGAATTTAATGTATGTAAACACATGATTGCCAGAGCTATAGCATTCCAAGATTTTCCACTTTGTCAAAAATTCACTTCACCAGGAAAATAAAAACGTTAATCCCATTGACAGACAATATATTCTTAGTCAATAAAGATTCTCAAATTCTTGGAATTTTTAAAAATGACAAATTTTCAGAATTTTTCCAACTCATAAAAAATGGATGAAAATAAAAGAAATTTTCAGCTAAGCAACATAAAGAATTGCATTAGTTTTGTGAAGAGAAAACTAAATGAGCAAAAATACAAAGATTTATCACAAGAAATTCTTGAAGAAATCGACGATTTATTCAATTTTATTAACCAAGAAGATGAAGCTACTTCAAATATCGAATATTCATTTGTTTTAACTATCAAACAGAAGCTGCTTGGCATTAACAGTCGTATTATTACAAAATTTTATCAAAATGAAATTTCTGAAAATGATCCAATGTATACACTAGAAGTACCTATCTTTTCATTAAAAAATAATCATGAAATGTATATTAATGCTTTCTACATTTATCTTCGTAACTCTTATGAATCTTTGAATAACATCATGAAAAACACCTGCGAAGTTGTTCCAAGAGATGTCACTTATACAATCAAGTATCTTGATATTATCCCGAATGACTTATTCTCACAACAAACACAACTTCCATATGAAGAAACAAATAAAATCGTTGAAGAAAATAAAGAAGAAACAAAGATAATTGTTGAAGAAGAAAAAGAAGAGAATCAAAAAGAAAAAGTATCAAATGGACCAAGAAATAGAAGACCTCCAACACGAAGGCCAAGAAGAAATAATTATCAGGGCTGTGTTGATGAAAAAACAGAGGAAGAAGTGAAACAAGAACCACCTCATGAAGAGAAAGCTAAAAGTTCTTATAGTAAAGAAAATATTAGGGCACAACGTTCACAAGAATCTGCAACAGCTAAAATGGCCATGGAAATGCTTTCACAAATGAAGAAGAAGAAAGAAGAAGCAAAGAAGAAACAACAACAACAGCAAGAAGAGATAAATAAGAAACAAGAAGAAGAAGAAGAGATAAAGAAACAAGAAGAAGAAGAGATAAAGAAACAAGAAGAAGAAGAGATAAAGAAACAGAGAAAAGAACCGGTTTTCGACAAAAAATGGTTTCCAAAGAGGGCAGAATCACAAACAATTACTTACTCAATGCCAGATGATTCAGAGTTAAATCAAGATGATTCACAAATCGAAATAAATGAATCAGAAAAGAATCAAGAGGGAACTGAAAAAGAATTTGGCAGAATCACAGAAGAGCAACAACAACAAATGCTGATGGAAGTAGATGAAATAAACAAACAAGCAGAAGAGATTGTTAACAATATGAACGATATAGATGAACAAATTGAATATTTAAAGAGAATGGATCAAGAACAAAAGCGAAAAGAACAAGAAGCGATCGATAAACATCTTTCTGATTTATCGAAGCAAGAAATTGTTGATACAGAACAGATAGAAGTAGATGAAATAAGCAAACAATTAGAAGATATTGTTAACAATATGAACGATATAGATGAACAAATCGAATATTTAAAGAGACAAGAAGAAGAACAAAAGAGAAAAGAACAACTACATAAAATTGCTTTAGAGAGAAAGAAACAACCTCTTCTCAAAGAAACAATTCAAAAAATTGTTATCAGAAAACTTAATGAAGAAAATAGAAAAACTATTGATTCTGTAAATAAGTTAAGAACAGACATCGGAGATCTTGTTGAAATGTCACAATATCTTGCAAATGTTTGCCTTGAAGTTGCAAAAATTTCAAACGAACCATTTGACAAAGATAAAGATGACTTCCGAGGATTTTTGAATTCCATCTGCGCCAAAATGTTTACGTAAATAATTAATATTTTAATTTTTAATGCTAGAAAACTTCAAAACAAAAAAATCATATGTTCTAATTTAAATTGGAAGAAAGTATACAATATATTTTATGAATATCATAATAATAAAAGGTATACCTATTACCTCTTATACAGATCAAATGGCCAAAACTTGGGATACAGCTTCTATGCAATTTTTTTACCATTTTCTACCAAAATCATTATAGATAACAAAGTAAATTGATCAAGAAATCATGTTGGCATAGCTCAGAATACTCATATACATTAATAAAATTAGAGTTTGATATTCAATTTTGAAATCTTTGGTGCAGTATTAATGCAATAGATCGTTTGAATTTGGAGGGTTTCAATGATCTTATTTATGCTACATAATTTAGATGTTTTATCAATTTTGTCTCCAATAATTATCTTTCTTTTTTTTTCAAAATTTTTCTTATGAGTGATGAAGAAATGGAGCTTCTTCCTGGCATTAGCCTTCAGCAGGCCGTGCCAGTGAAGCAAACAGAGACAGGATCGGTTTCTGTTGTGAGTGAGGAACAAACATTGCGTAAAATTTCAGTTGAACAAAAATCTGAGTTATTAGTACATCTTAAAAAGATCATTCAATCTGCTAACGAAGTACACGGAATCTTCCAAAAGGTAAACACAAAAGTTCAAAACGATACAGCAGCTTCTGTCGATGGAATTTCTTTATTACAAGTAAGAAACCATTGTCTTGTTGAATATCTCGAAAGTTTAGCTTCATATGGTGCCACTAGATGCAGAGGTGGCGAATTAAAGGATCCAATCGACAAACTTGTTACAAATCGATGCATCATTGAAAAAATCAAACCATTAGAGAAGCAGCTTCAATACCAAATCAACAAATACGCCGAAATCGAAAAAGGCAATACACAAAACTACAGAGCTAATCCAGATTCAATGCTTCAGTCCGGAGAACAAGCACAACAAGCAGAAGGAATGGTTTCAGCAACATATCAAGCTCCTAAGGTCTCATCAACTCTTTATCCAAAGGCAGAGTCCGATCAAAAGAAAGAAGCCAAATATGCAAGGTCGATTCGCGCTAGAACTAAAGGTGATGCATTGATGGATGAAGTTGCTGCCGATATTACAGAAGATCCACTCGAAGCTGGTCGTAAAGCTAACGCAAGTCGCGAATTACGTGAGTTCATGAAAAGACAGAAAGAAATTGAAGAATTCGAGGAAGAACACTTTGTACGATTGCAGCGTAGTAAGAAGGATAAAGCCATGATGAAGAAGATCGAACAGATGCAAGGTTCGCTTGAAGGAATCCTTGATTACGGACATATTCAAACAGATGCACAACGTGAAGCAAGGCGAAGCCAATCCAAAAAGAAATAATCATTATTCGTTATAAATTATAGAGATTTTATTGTTTTATTTTTCTATTTTTTTTAAAAATACAACTCCTACAACATATATCTTGCATTTCGCAGGCTCGATGTTCATAATTTTTTAAAATTTATTTTCCATCATGTAAATCTCGAAATAGGTGGTAGACAAATTTCAAAGATACAAAATTTATTACATTTAGAATTAATACATTAATGCATGCATTATTCTAAGGGTTTTATAATCTCCCCTCACAAGTTTCCTCAGAAAAATTTCTAAGCCAAATTTTTATTTTGAAGATTTTGCATGACAAAGCAAAATCACAAAAAGGTCATCTTGAAGTTGTTGAATATCTTATCTCTGTTGGAGCTGATAAAGAAGCAAAGAATAAATATGGATCTACTCCACTCATTTGGGCATCAAGAGAAGGTCATCTTGAAGTTGTTAAATATCTTATCTCTGTTGGAGCTGATAAAAATGCAAAGAATATATTTGTATATACTCCATTCATATGGTCATCACAACAAGGTCGTCTTGAAGTTGTTAAATATTTTATCTCTATTGGAGCTGATAAAGAAGCAAAGGATAATCTTGGATATACTCCACTCATTTATGCATCACATAATGGTCGTCTTGAAGTTGTTAAATATTTTATCTCTATTGGAGCTGATAAAGAAGCAAAGGATATACATGGAGATACTCCACTTATGTGGGCATCAAGAAATAGTCATCTTGAAGTTGTTAAATATCTTATCTCTGTTGGAGCTGATAAAGATGCAAAGAATAAAAATGGATCTACTCCACTCATTCTTGCGTCATATAATGGTCATCTTGAAGTTGTTAAATATCTTATCTCTATTGGAGCTGATAAAGAAGCAAAAGATGTAAATGGATGGACTCCGCTCATTTTTGCATCACAAGCAAATCATCTTGAAGTTGTTGAATACCTTATCTCTATTGGAGCTAATAAAGATGCAAAGGATGCTTCTGTGATAAAATATCCATTCTCAATTTGATTTAATGATTCCACATTCTATAATTCTCAAAATTGAAGATATTTTCAGCAAAAATGATATGAATAAAAATTTTATCGTCATATTTATTCTGTACGGATTTATCAGGGGTTACCTCATGAACAAGCCTAGTGGTTTTTAAATATATATATATATAAATTCTTTATAATGGAAATAATCATGAAGAGAAGGTGCCTCTTCAATTAAAATGCACGCATTTGGAACCTCATTGTAGAAATGATGTAATCTACATGTTGGAGAATCATTTTCAAGAAAATGACTCAAGGTTTGAATAATCATTTGCAATTGATTGTATGACTTGTTTATAATGGAGACAACTTTTTGTATCTTAATTATCAATATATACAGTTGTTGAACAAAAGATAAATATACATTATATTAATAATGTTTCCTAGCACATAATTTATATTCATGGAGAGAAAATTTGATATCTTCATTCTTATTATTTACTATTATTATACAAAAGATCATTATACAAAGTTAATTTCATATTACGTAATTTTTTTTATTCATGGAGAGAACTTTTGATATCTTAATTCATACTATATGCAGTTGTTATATAAAAGATTGTATCAGATGTAGTTGGATTGAGTCTTTGAAATGATTTTTGATTTTTCTAGTTTAATAATGAACAAAAATTATAAATAAACGTATTAAATAAAAGATAGAAATCATTTGCGGCATCTGGGCTTTAATGAGTAACCTCCGCAAATTTTTGCTAAGATATAGTAAAGAATTATAAAAACAATAGCAGTGTATAAGGCATAAGCCTTATACCTTGCACAAAGCATCTTGTTTTTAAGATTTACGGCGTTGTTTCTGAAATCTGCTGAAGTGGAAAGTAAATCTTCGGTTTTTGTTGACAAATTCTCGAGATCATTACCTCTACTCATAGCTAATTGTACTGATTCGGTCATTAGTCGCTGAGTTTGTTCCATTTCTCGCTTTATTTTTTCTGAACTTGGTTCATTTTCGATAACATCCTTGTAAACAGCGTCAAATATATCTTTTGTTGAATTTGATAATGAATTTTGCGTTGCTGTCTTAGAAGCATCTAATAAAGTCAGACACCAACAATCAGAAAGTCTATCCAAGTATTGGACAGCATAGCTTGTTGGTGATTCGGCAGGTGATGCGCAAATAAATGTTAAATTGTTCTTTTTACAGAATGTAAAAATATATCTGTTCATTCTTCTTTGTTCGTTAACAACATAAGGCTGCTCTAGCAACTTTTGAACTTCGCGGGATAAATCAGTACCATCGCGTGAGTATGAAGCAATTATTGTCTGTCCTCTGGCTACAGTTGTATAAGGAATCATAAAAAGGAAAAAAAAATTTATGAAAGGAAAATTGATAAAATAGTGTGTTGCAATAAATTATAACTGCATGCATGAATATTTATCAGATTATACATAGCACAATATAATACTCATAAACAGATCATCAAAATCATATTTGAGTAAAGGTGACCAAACTATTTTTTGAAAGTCCGCCATAACTTTAATGGTACTATTTCAGTGTGTACAATGAATACAAAAATTCTAAGAGTGCCACATAAAATAGTACTTTAGACTTGAGTTAATGCTACCAAGCAAATGTTAAAAAGATGACTTTAGTGTTTTGATAATCAAAGATTAAAATCATTATTGTCTAAATCAATAATCATAACGACAGAAGTTAATGTTTTTTCATAAGTGCTTTAAATCCACTTTTAAAAGTATACCTCAAAAATCAAAATATCAAAAAAAAATTGGCCGATAGGTTTGGCTTTAATTTTTGTCTGCTTTTATGATTTGATATGGATGTTATAATTTTAAAAGTTGAGCCAAATTCACCAATAGATTTTTGAGATTTGCAAATACTCAATAATTTTCAGCGTGTTATCTTTTATTAAAAGAACTATTTGGTTTCAGTATCATATAAATTGATATTTACTTTCTATTTGAACCTTCATTTAGCTAATGATTTAGTAATACAGATTTCATCTAGTCCTTATAAGAGAATTTTGAATTTGTTATAATAAAAAAACAAACAGATATAGCTTACACTTCTATAATAAAGATACCTTTTATAGAAATCAGTATGAAATGTGTTTTGGCTTATTGGAAGCATATCAGACATAATCGCCATAATCAAAAAATCTATATACCCAATAAGTAATAAATTTGTCGATATAGATTTTCCATAAAATTAGTTTTTAGTCTGATCTTAAAATAAATTTAATTTTTTATAAAAAAAATCACATTTAAAAGTACCTTTTTAGTAGCTCGAAATCCTGTTGGTGGATTTCGGGCGTACTTCAAAATTAGCTTTTCTTCTACATATGCAAGCTATATTTTAAATATGGAGCAAATCGGATCGGCGAAAGGAGTTTAGTTACCTTTATTTGAGTTAATAAATGGATGTATACGCTCTAATAAAATAATAGCAAAGCAATACTATGATCAATGATATTAGCATCAAAGTCAAAACAAGTTCTGTTCAAAATTGATATTGATTTAACCTGAACTAATGCTGAGTTGGTATTTATATATATGCATAATGATCTTAAGGACGCGTTAATCCAAAAGGTTATCAGAATCCAAATATATAAATATAGCTTTTGTCTATATTATGAAACATTTTTGGCGGTGATTCTTTTTATTTTGAAGATATTGGATATAATTAATTAGAAGTAACGCATGATAACCATGTCCATTTTATTTGCAAATCATTAAGTTTATTGTTCTAAATATATCAGGTCTGATCAAATTAGAAATTGAAGGTTGAAATGTTGTAAACAGAAATTCATCAAAAGTGACACCTCAGAAAAGCTAAAATATTGAATTTTTGGAACTTTTGATAGAGCACGTTTTTAAATATTAATTAAAGTAAATGGATATTTTGTAAAGATTCTTTTTAATAAAAAAATAAAATTTTGAAGAAGAACACAAAATCTTCTGAAAAATAATATCACATAAACTCATATTATTTTCTAATATATAACTATTTTATATAAAAATCAAATTCAATGATCTTAAAAGCGAAGGATAAACCTCAAAATTTACGAATATAATGAGTGGGAATATAATGCTTATCTATCATAAAACCATATGAAATATCAATTTTTGCTTTACGCCTAATTTTTGACGACAATTAGCAAAAAATGTTAAATGTTAACACTCAGTCCATTTGAATATGAAAGATAAAATTGACTTTGATTAAATGTTTTTATTTATCATGCAATTCTTCTTGCTAATTGTCGTCAAAAATTAGGCGTAAAGCAAAAATTAATATTTCATATGGTTTTATGATAGATAAGCATTATATTCCCACTCATTATATTCGTAAATTTTGAGGTTTATCCTTCGCTTTTAAGATCATTGAATTTGATTTTTATATAAAATAGTTATATATTAGAAAATAATATGAGTTTATGTGATATTATTTTTCAGAAGATTTCATTCTATATGCCTATGAAAAGTACTCTCAAAACTAACTTTTTCCTAATTATAATTAAATCTAGAATATTGTATTATGCTTAGTATTATTTCATTTTTCTCATTCAATTTAGAATTTACAAATGTCAAAAAATTGAGAGCTGTCACTTTTGATGAATTTCTGTTTACAACAGAAAATCATGGAATTATACAAGCATCTCATGGGGATTCAAACGACTCTAGCTTAATTTTATTAAGTTTTTAGAATTTTTAATAGACGATAGGTCTTGTTTGGCCGTTCATTACTACATTTTTTTTCTATTTCAATTTTGAATTGAAAAACGATTTTTTTTCCAAGTGAAAAACTCAGACCCAAATCACAAAAGAGTATATAAACTACCTGTTCAGAAAGCAGAACCAGCTCATAAACGAAATACACTTACCACAGAGCAAAAGCTCGAAATCCTTGAATTCGTGAAAAAATATGGAAATTTATGGAAATTAATTAGCACCAAAATAGGAGTTTCACGAAGTACTATCAAAAATTGGTACTATCGATATCAGAAAGATCAAAATATATCCCCAAAAAGAGGTCCACATATAAAATATACAGATGAAGATATACATAGAGTTTGCGCTGAATTAATAGCTGATCCAGAACTTACCATTAAAGAACTGGCTTCGAAAACATCAGTTTCTCCTTCAACTGCTTATAGAATGGTTAAAGACAATAACTTGCTGCCAAAATCTAAAAACCATAAAAATAAATAACTTTTTGCGTATGTTTGTTAGTAAAAATTCTATCTGAAATGTTTTTTTTATCTTCCTTTTTTTTCCATAAATTTCAAACTCGAAGTTAAGCCCAATAAACTTATGTACCGTTGCATTAAAATAAACCAGATAAAAGACATTATTTTTATTTTAATACAAATCATGTATCTATGCATAAATGTGAATAATTTATATCTTTCATATGAGATTTCATGTCTAAGAACTGTTCCTACATTTTAATATCATCATTAAAAGTAGTTACATCTTTATTTTCAGTTCAGTGCATAATATTTCAGTTAAATAATTGTCTCCTAGATATTTCATCGACAAATACGGATTCAACCTTTTCATTATAATATACTGCATCATGAAGAGCTGTTATTCCATATTCGCTTGTTTTATTGATATCTATATCATGCAATAGAAGAAGTTCGTGGATATTCACTTCACAATTTCCTGCCTGAAAAAAGGCTTCATATTGATAGAATAGATCATCAGAAATTTAACTTGAGACTTAGGAGTAAAATTGTCCAAATTTCAAAGTTGATATTAGCAAGCATTATATAAGAAAGCTGGTTATGAAAAAGTTTTTATAAATCACTACATAGTACATAATATAGAGACTATCTTTTCTATTACAGAAAAGATATATTGGTTTTATGAGAGCATGTTAGATAGTGGTAAGTACATCCTTAAAAAAAAATTAAATTTCAAACAAACAATAAAATTTTTAATTAAAAAAAGTTTTTTTAAGCATCATCTTCTGCAACTTCTTCTTCTTCAATAATTTCTTCTTCCTCGATATCTTCTTCTTCCTCAGTTATATAAGTATAAGTTGATTCCGTCCTTGCTCCGTCAGTATCGACTACGTAAAGAGATCCAGTTGCATTTGAAGTTGCAGTTACATATTCAGAGTGTCCAGTGGTCAAATCATCAGCATTTGTAGCTGTTGAAGCTGGTACTTCCACGTACAATTCTCCATTCTGGTTTGCAGAAGCTTCAACGAAATCGGCCGATGTCGGATTAGCTGTTCTTAGTTCTGTAACTGTTGTCAAATTATTGGAAGTATAAGAAGGAGGTCCAGAATTTTTATTTCCTCTCTTTGGTCTCTGTTTCTTCTTATTATCTTCCTCATGGGTGTTTGTATTTGTATTTGTTTGAGTTACTTCCACGTAGTTCATTGCGTTCTGTGCATTGGAAGGAGCTTCAACGTAATCAGCGGAAGAAGAGTTTGCAGTCACTAAAACTGTTGGATTTGGTGTTGATGAATTATTCGAATCAGTGTTAGTGAAATATTCATGAACTTCTTCAATGATTGCGGACTCATTTGTACTTGTTGTTGTTGTTGCTGTCCTTGAACCTCTCGATGGACGATTCTTCTTAGGAGGATCGAATTGAGGAGGCGGAGGGAATTTAACTGCAGGATTTCTTTCGTATGCCTTTTCAGGAATTCCACCTTGTTTCTTTGGCAGATATTGAGGTGAAATCTCTGCAAGTTCTGTAGATGTAGTTGTAGAGAAATTAGTTTCATATGTATCTGTTGTAGAAATTTCTCTTTCCTTCATCTTCCTCATCTCTGCAATTTTCCTCTCCATTTCTGCTTGTCTTCTTGCTTCTTCGGCTTCTTTCAATGCATTGTATTCGCCTGTGTCTGGTTCGTATGTCTTGATGTCTTCCAGTTTCATCGGTTTCATGCTGTCGAACAATCCCATTCCCTTGGAGATCTGTGCAATATTCGTGCGGTTGTAGCTGTTTCCTACTTCGAAAACAACTGGATTTGGATTGAGATCGTCTTCTTCAACGGAATCAGAGTCAGAAGCAAACATGAGTTTCTTAGGATTCTCTTTAACAAACTTTCCACGACGAGAAGCAGGGAACAATGCTTGTCTTTGCTCGTTTGTCATCTGGTTCTTCTTCATGTCTTCCTCGTACTGTTGCATCTCCAATTCAAGTCTGATGTCTTTCTCCAATGTGCTCAATTCGTCTGTTGCTGTTGTTGTCAAGGTTGGAGGTGGAGATTCGCCATTCCTGATGGCTTCAGCAACTTTAGCTTTGTACTCTTGCTTCTTGGCCATCTTCTCTTCCATACGCTGCCTGGCCATCTCCGCTTGCGCAAAGCCGCCGTCCTCTGCAGCAGGAACAGCAGCAACGGATCGCGATTTGGCTGAAAATCGCTCTTGGAACTCTTCTCTGTTCATGACAGTCGGAATTGTGGATTCAGATGTTTCATCTTGTGTAGTGATCGTATCTATGTTAGTCTGACTCTCATCGTCACTGGAAGAAAGCTGATTACGACCAAGAAATCGTGATCCGATAAGTGGTCGGCCAAAATTTTGAGGTTCTGGGGCCATTTGGGTCAATGTTGAGTCATCCTCGTCATCCCACTTAGGTTTCTTGACTGCATTGACTGGTTTGACTGTCTCTATGTATGGGACTTCCATGGCTGATGGCAAATCTAATGTAGATAAATCAGATGTACCGGCAGGATCAAGTGAAACAGCATCTACGGACTCATCATGTACATCTGTGTTAAGAACTGCTCCGTTTCGGTGCATTAAAACCCTTGCTGCTTCTCTTTTCATCGTTTTTTGGTTACCTTTTTTGGGAACTCGAACTTTTACGCGGACACGCTTAGTAACTGAGTCATCTGTGGTATATGTAACTGAAGGAGCATCAACGCTAGTCTCGACTTCGGATGTAGAGATCGGATTGGAAGTGAAAACTGTGTATGAAAATGATGAATTTGTTCCGTTTGGATCTGTGCCTGTTTTTGAGTATGTGTTAGATGCATTTTGCGTTCCTGTCTTTGAGTATGTGTAGCTTCCTGTTCCTGTGGCTCCTTCTGAAGCTGTATAAGAATAAGAAGGATTTGTTTGAGATCCGGATTGGTTTGTATAGGAATATGTTGGATTGGTCTGAGAATATGAATATCCTGTTGTATTTGTGTATGAATACGTTGGGTTTTGAGAATAAGAATAAGATTGAGTCTGTGAAGGGTTTTCAGAATAGCCTGTGGTACCTGTATAGCTATATGTTCCTGTTGGACCATAGGTTGGTGTATAACCAGAATATCCGGTTTGATTTGAATTTTGTGTAGCAGAATATCCATAAGTATTAGAATAACTAGGTGTTACTGAGTATTCAGAGTACTGCGTGTAAGATTGACCACCTTCTGTGCTATAAGTTTCGATTTGCTGTTTTAATTTTTTCGGAATACGAATTCTTGTTTTGGTATGTGTTGATTTCTGTGTTGAGTATGTCTCTTGAGTATTAGTTGGAGTATCAATTGTTGTTCCTGAATCACCTGTATCGAGATGACTCATATTTTTAGTTGAGAAACGGTTAAAATTTTAACGCCAGAAAAAAAAATACATAGACTTGATTTGCTGTTGTATCAATAGATATTTACTAAATATATTATTTCATTGCATCAACGTATAATTTATTTTACAAATTAGAATCGATTTCGAATTTTTCTTGCATAATTATAGCATAACATATTATAATTCTATTCCTATATAGTATGATAATATTAATTCAATAGATAATCTCACCAAAAATGCTTCCTATTCATTGTTTTAGAAACGAAAGGATAGGGTCCCATAAATTGAATAGTTTACAAAACATTAAAACTGTTTATTAAAATCCATATATAAATAATTATACCAAAATGAATTAATATTTCTCTTTTTTTTAATCTGCATTTCTGCCAATTTGTCTGGCTAAAAAAATGAGTGAAGAAAATCCAGCTCCAGCAGCACCAGTTGAAATAGTTCGCTCAGAACTCCAAGTCACAAACTTAATTCGTGGCAAGCAGAGAACATACGGTGTTCCAGATAATCAATTCCTCCGCTATTCTCAATATTGCAATCGTAGATGCGCAAAAATTCGTTCTAAATTAGGAATCAAGGGTGGAAAAGATTTTGATTTAACACCAGACAGATATCAAAACCCACAGCATATCGAATTACTTGTTTTACAAGCAGATGGTGCTTGGGCCAGATACCGTGATCTTAAAGGCAGCGCCACAGCCGGCCAACGCCGCCAGCACGCTCTTCGCAGACTTCGTAAATCACTTGTCTGGTGGAACCGTGCAAATGAAGCAGCAAAGACGTTCGGCACTGAAACAACACAGCTTGAGGTTACCGCTTTTTACAATTACGCTCAAGCCACACTTGCTCTTGAGCTTGGTCATTGGTCCGAAGCTCTCAAGAAGTTCATTGAAGTTTCAGCCACATTCAAAGAACTCGGCCAAAGTACAGGCGATTCGAATCTTGCCAACCACTGCCATGATATTACGGAAGATATTGAGCCACTTCTTGTCTTCTGCCGTTACAATCTTGGCGATTCCGAAAACATCACAGCCTCTGCCGAAATCAAGGAGAAAGTCAAGAGCATCGTCAGCATCAACGCAATGTCGTCTACACGCAAGGTCAGCGAAGTCAAATGGCGTAACTGGACAATCCCGATCAACCACGAAGGCCTCAAGACGAAATTGGCCAGTATCCTCGACTTGATCAAAGACTCACAATCCGAAATCTCCAACGAAGAAATCCGTGTTACAATCTTCGATCGTCTTATCGCAGAATCCCATGGTGCCCGCCAAGTTATTCATACTCTCTCCGCACAAAATACAAACGATGACCTCGCACGTCTCGATCTCTTCCTCCGCTGGAACAGTTTCGTTGCTACTCTCGAAAGATCTCACGCTCTCATCAATACATTCAATACAGCAGCCGAACGCGCTGAATTTGCTGGCCGTACATTCACAAGAGTTGTCGAATTACGTCCACAATTCGAAGGCGACGTCACTATCGAGTCATACGAATATCTTTGGCACGCCATCAAATGCTACTACATTGGCGAGGCTAAGTCCGGCTCGGAGACCATCACTATGTTACAGCGCGCTCAGAATCATGCTACTAAAGCACTTGATTTGATCACAAACGAGTCAATCGAAGATCCACCAACACTCAAGGGCTGGGCAGAGAGAATCCTCCATAAAATACGTGTCGCTCGTATCGAAGCCGTTGCCGCAATCAACGGTCTTAAGAAAGATCAGTCGAATTCAGTACAGAGACCATTCCTCGAGGACCAGAAGAGCTACTCCCCATGCGATACACTCGTCACTGTTCCTCCGAAGGCACAGTTCGTCACTCCAAAGCCAATGATCTTCGATCTTGCAGGTGACTACTTACAGTATCCTTCTCTAGAGGGTAAGCTTAAGAAGAAAGGTCTCGTGTCTAAGCTTAAGTTCTGGTAAAAAAATATTTTAACTTTTTTTTTGACTCTATGTTACTTATACAGATAATATTATTTGGGGAATAATTTGTTTGGGCTTCAAAATTGAATTAAAGATTATTGCACATTTCACGACGGTAAATAATAAACAAGCCTGTCATGAAGCTTTTTGTCAGAGTGAAATAAATAAAGTCTAATGATCTTTAGCGTGGATGTATATACTTGCAACAATTCTTTAGGCAAAAAAATTAAATTTGATATAATATAATTTCGGGCCTCAGTTGGCCAGGCTTGCCCGAAGTGCAAGGAATTTTTATATCCATCGAAGTGGTTTCGAGCATACTTTGAGATTTTAGAGTTTTTCAAAAGAAATAATGAAAGCAAAGCATTTATTAAGAATTTGTTTAGAAATGAATACATTTAGATAAGACATTAGATTAGTTTGTTACTTGACAAAATTAGAGGAAAGGGGGAAAGAAAGAAAAAGGAAAAATAATATAGGGCTTATTACATATTTGATGACTTTAACTTTGTGTTGTTCATGTCCGGAGGCGGTGATGCGGCTGAAGGGCTAGCGCTACCGCCGGAGACCCGATTTATTTTACAAGATTATTTTTTTCCCAAGAACTTTTCCCCAGATTTTGGGTTTATCAACCAGAAACGGCCACAATATTAAGAGTGGTTGTGTATCATGTTAAAGGTATTTTATATTCATTCCCAAAAGGATATATATTTTGACACTTTTTCGATGAAGGGAACAACTCAAGGACTTCTTGTTCTCCTCACCGAAAAGGATAGCAGCATAAAATGTTATGCAATTGAGCAACTTATTCAAAGTCTACCGAATTCTTGGCCATTAATGGTTGATTATCTTGATAAAATAACTGTTCTTGCAAAATTAACAACATTTCCATCTCATTTACAAGCAGCAAGACTAGCATCTATTGTATGTTATTATTACGGTGATTCAGAGAGAGCATTAGAGTACGCATTGCTCTCAAAGCAATTATTCGACGTTGCAGCCGATGATAAGTATACTCGTAAGATAGTATCATTTGCATTCCAGAAATATATACAAAATATGCAGAAAAACATCCCAATTTCTGAAGATCATCAAGTACTTGTTCAGAGATGTATTGAAAACCTTCTCAAAAACAAGAAATACAGTCAAGTTCTTACACTATCAATTGAAACCCACATGAAGGAATCAATAAAGATCGCTTTAGAACAGTGTCCGAGCCTTGCAAGTGGCGCAATTACATTATGTCAAGAAACAGGCATGAATAATGAGTACAAAAAGGAAATTCTTGATATACTTGTTGATTTTTCGAGGTCACGAAGTGATAAATTCCAGCTAAGTCAACTTTATTTACATTTACAAGATTACATCTCAGGCGCGAACTTACTGAAGCAACTTTGTACATCCTCTAAGACTGACGATAAACTTATGGGATATCAAATTGCATTTGAACTTGCAGAAAATGCACATCAAAAATATCGTGCCCAAGTTATCGACAATTTACCACCAGAGCTCAATATTGTTAAAGACATTTTAACACGCAAACTCCTTTTACAGAAATATTTAGATTTCCTCTTCCAGAAAAACAAAAATGATATTCATGTCCTTATTTCCCTTAAAGATTCACTTGATACAGCCCGCTCAATCATCCATACATCCGTAACTATTGCCTATTCTTACATGTACGCTGGAGTTGGCGATGATAATTTCTTCAGAGTCAATTTGAACTGGTTTATCACGACACGTAAGTGGGCTCAGTTCACAACCGCCGCTGCAGTCGGAGCCATCCATGTTGGCCACCTAGAAGACGCTCTAAAAGTTCTGACATCTTTTTTGGTCAAAGAAGCTCCCGAACATGTCACAGGCGGTGCCATTTATGCTCTTGGCCTCATCTATGTCAACTACAGATGGGACAAAGCCATTCTCAACATTGTTACAGAGAAATTAGAATCATCCTCTCAGAAAACATCGTACGATCAGACCAACAAGCCTCTATACGTCATCCAGCATGGTGCATGTCTTGCTCTTGGCCTCATCTCCCTCGGCAGCCGCGATACTTCTCATTATAATTTATTATTAAAAGTTATAAGGGAAGATCATCCCGAACCAGGTGAAGCTGCCGGATACGCTCTTGGCATGGTCATGCTCGGCAGTGGCAGCCAGGAAACCATTGACGAGATGATCAGAATCTGCGAAAACACCGAACACGAGAAAATCATGCGAGGCATTGCGATGGGCCTTGGATTTGTCCTCTACGGATGCGGCGCCAGAGCAAACGACACTATCCAGCGAATGCTCGACAGCAGGCAGCCTCTCATGCGCGAAGGAGCTGCATGGATCATCGCACTCGCAAACATAGGAAATGCTTCAAATGACGCTTTGCAAAAACTTCTTCATATCGCTGTGAGTGATGTAAACGATAATGTTAGAAGAGCGGCTGTCATTGGCATTGGATTTGTTTTGTCTCGTCGTCCAAAGGAAGTTCCCTCAATGATCAACCTCTTGGCGCAGAGCTACCACGCACACGTGAGGGCAGGAGCGGCACTTGCAATCGGAATTTCATGCGCTGGAACAGGAAATTCAGAGGCAATTGAAGTGTTGAAACCGCTTTTGAACGATAACGAAGATGCTGTTACACAGAATGCTATGATAGCCATGGCCATGGTCTTGATGCAGCAGAGTGATGCGAGAGTCCCGTACGTCAAGGAGTTCAGGACATTCTTGAGACAGATGACATCGAGAAGGCGCCAGGAAATGCTTATTTTCGGTACTTGCTGCGCTTGGGGAATTTTAAACGCTGGAGGAAGAAATGTTGTCATTTCTTGCAACTCATTGCGTGGTGAGAACTCTGTATCTGCAACAGTGGGTCTTGCAATGTTCTGCAACCACTTCTTCTGGCATCCACTAGCTCTAATGCTGCCTCTTTCATTCCATCCAACTTCAATAATCGGTTTGGATGAAAATTTGAATGTTGTAAACTGGAGAATGAGGTGTAATGCTCCTAAAGCTGATTTCGACTACCCACCTGACTTCCAGGAGGAGTCGAAGAAGCAAATGGCAATGCCTGTGAAGCTATCAATTTCTGGGCAACAGACTCAACAACAACAACAGTTTTTCGATGAATCAGATTCTGATAAAAGTGACGAAAAAAGTGACGAAGAAGGAGACAAGAACTGCCAGATCATCGAGAATATGAGTAGAGTAACACTGTCACAGCTCCCGTATATCGATATAGAATACGAAAAGAGCTATACACCAATAATTGGCCATGTGACTCATGGATTTATCATGTTAAAGAAGAATACTAAATAAAAATATTATGTTTATTGTATAAAAACAAAAATCATATGTTTACTCAATGCAAATATCTATATATATTTTAGCATAATTGGAAATTAAGCTATATATTTATATGGCCAAGCCTTCCCTCAATTTTGAGAACTTTTACCGCGGGTTTACATCTTACGGATTTTGCCAGGTAAAATTCAAACCCATCATTGGTAGTTTACTGGCAAGGCGATTCAATTTTGAAAGCAGGTTAGTAAGTAAAATATGGCTTATTTTTTAACTATGTTATGTGAAGATATATTTCTCATCTTTGTACTACTATATGTTTTTGATACTTAAAAAAAAAAAAAAAAAAAAAAAAAAAAAAAAGGTAGTGGGGCTTCCAGGCACTTCGTGCCTTCTAGCCCTGAAGATGTTTAGTATAAATGAAGTTCTTATATACGGGTCTTCCAGGAGCTTTTCACAAATTATATATGTTTTCATGTTTTGTCAAGACTTCTTCGTAAAATCAGACAAAAATAATGTTTAGGGTAGAAGGTTAGATATAACCTCTTTTCTAACCTCTTTTCTACCCTCTTGAATTTTCAAGACTTCTTCGTACATGTTTTGTCACTTTTCTGTCACTTTTCAGGAAAAAACATTTTTATTATTATATATAAATGAATTTTACAAAACCACCGTTACCCTTCTTTGGAAATAAGAGTAAATGTAAAGATATTATATTGAGAGAACTTAAGAAACTACCGAATGGTCTAACATTTGTAGATTTGTTCGGTGGAAGTTTCTATATATCCCATTTATGTCATACAATATTCCCAGACTCAAAGATTATATGCAATGACTTCGACAACTATATGGACCGTCTCAAACATATACCAGACACAAACAATATATTGAAAGCGTTAAAAGAAAAGATACCTATAGGTAAGATGGAACGTATACCATTAGATAAGAAAAATATTGTGAGAGAGGTTTTGAAAAAAGCAGAATATATAGACTGGAATAGTATATCTGCTAGACTATTATATAGTGGTGCTATAAGAGTTCATGACATTGAAACACTTATGTCAAAAGTTTTATATCTTAACTATACAAATGTTTTCAAAGAGGACATAGAAAAATATATTGAGGGTATAGAGTTTGTGAGATGTCATTGGACAGAGTTGTATGAAAAATATAAAGACAAGGAAAATGTTTTCTTTATAGTGGACCCGCCGTTCTATAACACATGGGATTTTCAATACCAGGTAGACTGGACTTTGAGAGACTCTTTAGAAACTTTAGACGTTTTACATAACTGTCCATGCTTTTACTTTACATCCGATAAAAGTGGTTTGGAAAGTGTCATGAGATGGTTAGAGGACATACATGACTATGAGTTTAGATACGATAAGATAGAATATGAGAGAGGTCCTATAAACTGGAGAAAGTGTCATAACAAAGAAATTTTATTGGTAAGTAAATGTGGTTTGAAATCGGATTGTTAGTTTTAGGTTTTTTCCATTGTGTCATTTATTTATTTGACGTGGCAGAAAGATATAGAGAATATGAAGATGAACCAATGCCTGCAAATGTCCAGTATATGTACTCGTAAGAGATATTTTTATCTAATATTAAATGGACGCACAGAACTTAGCGAATGCACAGCAACCTGGACAACCAAACCCAGAGAATATTCCAAATGAAGTTAGAATACAAACTGCAATGGCAAACTATGGTCAAGTGCCAACAGATGTACAAATGCAAACTGCCATGTCAAATGACGCTGCGTTAGGCTTGCCACCATGGTATGCAAATATGAGATGGAAAGAGTTTTATACAAACCCTGAAGTGGGATATAAACAACTTTATGCAGATGACGCGAACACAGGAGTTGACCCAGAGTATGTTTTCTACCAGAGGAGAAATAGAATGTATGAGCTCCAGTTAAAGAATGCAATGGAACTCAACAGGAAACGTAAGAGACTAGGCGGACATTAGATTTTTACATATAGTAAAATGGGTTTCTTTGGAAGAATAGGAAACTTCTTTCGAAATGTTGGAAGAGGTATATGGAATGGAATAAAATCTGTCGGAAGAGGAATTTGGAACGGAGTCAAAAATATTGGTAAAAGAGTAGGTCAGTTCGTTGGTATTATACCTAAAGACCCTGAACCAGAAGAACAAGCTCCTGTTATACAACAGCCTGAACCTGCACCACAGTCTAGTTGGCAACCAAATCCAACACCTCAACCGTATTAAAATTATATTTTTACCGTTCGATAGTAGTTGTATATGAGACTAAGTTCTAAGTAAAACGCATGGTATAATGGAACTATTCTCTTTCTTCCATCTGTTGTAAACCATACTTGAAAGTCTGAAATACTTCCACTCGGTGGTTCATATAGCTTTGTAGCTTTTTCGTAAAAGTCATTTGCCAAGCATAAGAAAGAGTTTTGGGCGCCAGAAAATGAAGCATGAACAATAATAGCATCTGGGTCGAAAACATTTTCATATGTTCCATTAGGGTTTTCGACTTCATAATAGTCCGGGTGTACTGGATACCATGCAGGCTGATTTAACATCCTCAAAAATCTATACCATGCCAAGTTGTTATATTTTGTAGAAATATAAACGTTGTCTCCAAGGTCTTCTATTCTATTGATTTTAACAGTTGCATTTTTCCTGTCATATAAAATATCGAGATGGTACTCTCCTTCGTCAATGTTGTACTGTTTTGCATATTCGAGATAGATATCGTTTATTTTTTCTTGAAAAGCTTGAAGAGTTGTTTCTAAGTTTACAAGCAAACTAACTTGTAAAAGTTTTCCCTGTTCAAATTTCTCATACGTACGTTTTTCTTTGTTATAGTATCGAATTTCAAAAGCGACCGTAAATGGGAAACCATGTATGGCTTCTGAAATGAACTTCATTCTACGAAAGCCAATAGCTTTTGTGACGGATGGGTCTCTTAACCATCTTAGTGGGTAGTCAAAACGATAGCCTTCATGCTTTACGGTCTCTGTCTCAAACTTTTGACCGACATTCGTAAAAAGTTCATCTAATGGTTTAGTTGTAGCAACTCTTGAATTTTCTTTTTCTATTGAAAGCATATTTTATCTAGAATAAAAATGTCGAAAGAAACAGCGTCTATGAGAGAAATAAAACACAACCGACAACTCATTTTGCAAGCTCTAAATAAGAACACAACAAACTTTTCAAACTATTCTAAGATATCTGAGTCATTGAAAGAAGGAAACTTAAAACTGACATTAAACCCAATGACAGATGAGTTTCTATTTCAAGACAATAAGAACCATACTGTCTGTGTAAATCCAACAAAAGGAACTTTAAACGAGAAACCTATAGATGAACTTCTTTTGAAAGCAGATGTTGACAACAAAGCTGACAAAGAATATGTCATTGAAAAAGTTCAAGAAGAACATGACAGAGCAGATGCAACATATGCAACAAAAGCAGATGTTGAAAAGAAAGCTGACAAAGAGTATGTCATTGAAAAAGTTCAAGAAGAACATGACAGAGCAGATGCAACATATGCAACAAAAGCAGATGTTGACAACAAAGCTGACAAAACATATGTTGACAATAAAATGTCAAGTGAAGTGACAAGAGCTGAAAACGAATATTCTAAAAAGACTCATACACATACCATTGCAAATATTACAAACTTACAAGAAAAGTTAGATGGCAAAGCTGACAAGACTCATACACATACCATTGCAAATATTACAAACTTACAAGAAAAGTTAGATGGCAAAGCTGACAAGAACCATACACATACCATTGCAAATATTACAAACTTACAAGAAACCTTAAACAGGAAAAGTGACGTTGGACATACACATACCATTGCAAATATTACAAACTTACAAGAAACCTTAAACAGGAAAAGTGACGTTGGACATACACATACCATTGCAAATATTACAAACTTACAAGAAACCTTAAACAGGAAAAGTGACGTTGGACATACACATACCATTGCAAATATTACAAACTTACAAGAAACCTTAAACAGGAAAAGTGACGTTGGACATACACATACAAGTTTTACAACTTTTACAGCAGATGATATTACACTAAACACAACCTTGCCAAGTAAAGCTCCAACAATACCACCGGCAACAAGTCTTGTAGATACTTTGATATCTAATGACAATAGTATTATACATCTAAGACAGGAACTCAATGTGCTTAAACAAATTTTGCCGAATCTTATTACCCGGTTGGCTCATTGTATGTTTCAATGAACTCTACCAGACCAGAAGTAGTACTTGGTTTTGGAACTTGGACTCAAATAGTCGACAGGTTTTTGTATTGTGCAAACTCTTCAAAGGAAACAGGTGGAAGTAAAACGATTTCAGGTGAAAACCTACCTGCGCACAGTCATTACATAAATTTAAGTACATCTCTAGAAGGTTGGCATAAGCATAGATATTGGGATTGGTCAAGAATGACAAAAGGTAAAGGATATGATGTTAAAGACGACGTTGATTTTGCTATAAATTGTTACTGGGATGACACTCAGGGAGGAGGAAGCCATACACATTTGGTTTCAGGATATACGCAAACAACGGGACAAAGTAAAGAATACATGCCACCTTACATGACAGTTTACGCATGGTATAGAATTGCTTAGTCGTCATTTTCAACTTCTTTAGCATATTCGTCAGGAGTTGTCTTATATTTGTTAGGAACTGTCTTTGAAAGTATACCACCTTGAACTTTGACAAGTTTGAAACGAGGTCTGACAATAGTAGTTTTATCTTCTGCTTGCAGTGTGTACATTTTGCCATGTTTGCCTAAAACTTCATAATATTCTCTTGTATACTTTCTTCTATTTTTACGAACACGAATGCGAGTACCTGTCGAGTTCCCATTGTTGTCATAGTCAATAGTATTTTCATATGGGTCGCGTTTAGGTATTTCTATTTTTACTTTGTCACCTTTCTTAAGTTTGAAGCCTGGCATTCTTTCTTGTTTGTCTCTTTTGACTAAACTATTAAATATATAGTCTTTCTCTA